GTCTGCTGTGCTTTGGGCAATGACCCTGCACTGGGCACAAATTTAAGTAAATACACAAGAGGCAAACAGGTATGAAAGGAGATTCTGGCTCTTTCTTGCTCAGTACTCCAGACTGTCAATATTGAAATTTCCATCTCCTAAGGATTATTGACAGCATTCCAGTGTTCTGTGATACTTCATCCCTCTTGGGTTTAAGATAATGGTAATTTTCCAAGCATGTAACATAAAGCCCTGAGATGTTCATCACGATCTGCTACTTGAAGAGACAGAGCAGAGTCATTTCAGAGGACATGGCTGTCACAAAACACCCCAGCATTTATCTCTGAGCCTTCAGCGGCCAAGATCCCGGAGAGAGACCTCCTCTTCTTGCCTCCTTCCCTGCCTGCTATCTTCTGGAGGACTGATGGTGATGTTCAGTGTCATGCTCCATTCTCTTCAGCGTGTTGTTTTACCCAGGCTGAGCACGCTCACTCACTCCTAGCAAGCCCTGCAGTGGAAACAGAGGATAGTGATACTGTTCTGGCTCGTTTGGCTGCTAGCTTGAAAGAAGAAAACTGAGAGATAAGAAGAAGAGAACAGGAATCGATTGGATCAGACAGCTGTGCGTGTCTAATGCTCAATGAAACCAATCTGAGCTCCACCTGAGCTCTATGCATCTGGTCAGCTCGGTGGAGGGCTGGGAGCATTTCTTTGGCTTGTGGTAAGTTGTGGCTCAGCTCATGTCACAAGAGAGCTGCCTGCTGTTGTCCTAGCTGGCTTTGAGGCTGCAGTTTGCAGGCAAGCAATGTGGCAGAGACTCATACTGAGGCTGGCAGGTGGGGTGGATTTTGCTCACTGTGTTGTACTTGCTTGATTCATGAGCAGGAGTTGGTGAAAGCTGGGGGCTGCTGACCCACCTCTTGAAAGTACCCAGCCCTTCTGTAGCTGACTAAAATGTGTTGCACTCGGGACTGTCGTTGCAGGCACATTTGCTTGGAGCAGGCACCTGACACCATAGGAACTGGAGTCAGTGGTGCTTCGCTGCCTGCATCCAGGACTGGTGTTAAACTGCATCCGTACCGAGTGACTGTGTGTGATGTCTGGTGGCTGCCACATGGCTGAGCTCCTCACAAAGGAGCACTTGCCCACCTGTCAGATCCGACAGGTCTGCTGGCTTTGTGATATTGGTCCATGTGCTGTGGGGGTCAGCCAGCCTCCCAGGACTCCTTTCTGCTCTCTTTGCTCAGAGGTCCCTGGCAGGAGGAAGCGTGCTTTGGTTCAGCTTGTTGCTTGAAGAGAAGACCCTGCCCTGTGCTTTTCCACTTCCTGAAGATCTTTCACATCTTTTGTCCTCTTAAACCAGCATCTCCTCTGCACTCCATTTCCATTGCTTTTGCAATCTTTGTGTTAACGCTTGCATTCTGATGTAAAGGTAAGAAATAGAGCCTTCCTGCTTCCTGGGCTTCCTCAGACTTGAGGCTGGAGTGCTGTGCCATGCCACCTCTTCTCTTCCTTTCTCACCCCAACCCCCATCTTTTTTCACTTATACCTATTAGGATTTTTTTTTGACGGACAGTAAACAACCAAATGTTAACAAGCATCCTGGCTCTGGCCACCACCAAATGGCTGATTTATTGTGGTTCATGTCAAATCAATTGTGCATCCTTTTAAAAATGTACCTACTTCTTTTTTTTTTTTTTTAGATAATGACTGGTGAATGATAAGCATTAACTTCTTGTAGACTGCAATTTATGAAGGAGGTACATCTGGGGGACCAGGAGCCTGCCCATTTCCAGGAGTGAGACTAATCTAGGATAATTCTTACTATTAGGAGAAAATTACTCACCTCTTATTGTGAAGTACATAATGGTCATACATTTCCTTTCACCTTCCTCGGTGGCCCAGTGTCCTGCTGCTGCCTAACCAGCAGTTTTGTCTCCAAGAAGAGGAGAGAGGGAACAAAAGACTCGATCTGTGAGAGCTGTGATAGGGGCAGACGTGCATCCCCAGCTGGGTGCAGCGTGCCCTCCCACGAATGGCAGTGAATCTGCTCGGCTACAGATGAGCACTGTAACTTTCCATGGAAACTGCTGCATTGATTCTCTGCCTCTGGCTGCAGGTAATTGCTTTGCCTCTCGCAATTATTTGGGGTAACTAGAAGTAGATTGTACAAAGAGTAGTAAAATCCATCAGTGCATCTTCCCCTTCTGTGGTATCTTCCTTTAAGAGTGATTATTTCATTTTTTTAGCCCAACCTTTGTGCTTTCTGCCCAGCTGATATCTTAGCAGTGTGGCAAAGGAAGGGAAAATGAAAGCTGTGTTCATTTTTACAGCATGCTATCCAGTACAATCCCTGACTGAAACTGCAGTGGGAAAGCAGAATGACTCCAAAACTCACATTTTCTCCCAGCCTGATACAGTTATGGACCATTAGCACAGTGGGTTGGATTCTGAAATAGATGCAGCCAGAAACAGACAAGTCTGGCTGGCCTAGTGTGGATTAAGGCAGTTTTCTTATGCTCCCTCTTTAATCATTTGATTTTTTTTTTCTACATGAAGTGGCACACTCTTGAAATGTGAAAAGAGACAAGGCAGCAGACGGTTTCTGTAATGAAGGTTTATAAAATTGCCACTGATCCATTACTTTAGAAGTACTGTCATGCTGCTATGCTTAATGAAAGATCAGTCAAGTAAACTGTTCCTGGGATTCAACTTCATTACATGCAAGCGACGGAGACTCTGTTATCAAGGTCTAATAAAATATCAGATGGCTGTAATGAAGTCAGTAAGGTGGCAGCTCTAAAGTGAAATGTGCTTGATTAACAATGGAAAGACAGGAGATTTGACTGAGGAGTGTTATAAATTCCATGTCGCTTCTCCACTGCGAGGTGGGAGTCACCACTGCTAAGCTGTACTGCTCAGAAACTTTGGCTTCATTATAGTGCTCATCCTCTAAGGCTAACGGGCCAACAGCTGGAGCAGATTTCCTACTGAAGGATTCTTTTAGCCATACTTGGCATATGACAAGTAGGGTGTTTTTTTTTTGTAATGCTTGCAAAGGAAGCCATTTATCCAGCTGTGTAATTGAAATCAGGAGATGGCTGTGACTGTCACTAAATACTTTAAGTAAATAAAGATGCTTAAAGTGTTTAGGCTTTGATTTTGACTCATTTAATAAACATTTGGATGTCTTCCTATACATTTTTAAATATAAATTTTGGATTTCCAATTTAATCAGGAAGGCTTTAAATTAGTTGCTGGGAGAGGGGATCCTCAAACCATCCCACTTTGAGGCCGATGATGGTAATGGATGCCCTGGGCCTGGAGGAGGATCACAGGCCAGTAAGGCAGCACCTAAAGTGCAGGATAAGGGAACTCCAATTGGTAAATCAGCCCCGATGGCAGCCCAACTCAACTGCCTGTACACTAATGCATGGAGCATGGGGAACGAGCAAGAATAGCTGCAGGTGTGCGTGTGCCTACAGGGCTATGATGTCATTGGCATCACTGAGATGTGGAGGGGTGGCTCTCGTTATTGGAGCATAGGAATAGATGGGTATCAATTCTCGAGGAAAAACAGGCAGGGCAGAAGGGGAGGAGGTTCAGCCATCTACATCAGTGACCAGCTGAAGTCCGTGGAGCTCCTGCCTGTAGCAGGGGCCTTGGAACTAGATGATCTGAAAGGTCCCTTCCAACCCAAACCACCCTATGATTCTGTGGTTTGGATAATAATTTGCCTTCCCACCAGTGCTGCCAGTTTTGTTTGGGGTATTCCAGTTCTATTCACAAACACTGGACTGGTGTGTTGTTTGGGGCACTTGTGCATGCTTCCATCAACGCAGGGCAGCGGGCCATCAGCTGGGGCTTCCCTATGGAGAATAATGCTTCTGGTGTAAGCTGTGAGCAGAATGCCCCCCGACACACAGCCTGATGACAGTCTGGCATGTTTGATCAATGCTGCTTTCCATTTGGAAGACACAAGTGGCCATAAAAGGGAAGAGAAAAACCTGATTTTCTCCATCTATCGACTTTAAGCTAAAGAGCTGTGCATCAAGCTTTTTATGCTGCTTATCCAGATGTACTGAGAGCTTCCACATTTCTTTTACTTCGTTGCATTTCTATCTCTTCTCTGTGGTGAGAGTGGGATGCTCTGTGCATTTCTTGTTACTGATAGCCATGTGCCAGAAAGAGCAGAGCCAGAGCAGCCTGCCAAGGGCAGGCCCAGGCCATAGCAGAGAGCAGGACCAGCAGCAGGTGGTGTGGAGCGGGGCACAGGGATTTCTGACCCTCTGCTCCTGGTCTGGGTGCTTCCTGGCTCTATCCAACACCACCATTTAGGATGACCATTATTACTGCAGTTGGGAACCTCTCCTCTTGCATGGTCAGTGTGAGATGTTTGGATGTGGCTGTGATGCTCCTGCTGGTTGAGTGCTGTGCTGTCTGAGCTCCTGCAGTCAGCTGCTGCTTTGGAAATCCTCTCAGTGCAGGGTGAAGCTTGCAGTTACCACGCAGTGGGATGCTGGAGGGCTGCGCAGCCCCACGCGCCAAATGATGGCAAGTCAGCACTGTGTGCGGTCGTTGTGAGTCAACTCTGAACCGTTGCCAAAGGTGCCTTTTGCAAACAAAATTTGCCACTTGTTTATCAAGGGCTTGGGTTCGTAACGTGATGTAAAGCACTCAGTCGCACAATGAATCCTTCTGGATCGGAAGAAAACGCTCGTAATGACTTTTTTTTATCAGTAAATACCGTGTTTAAGTGGATGAAATCAACGTAAGGGTATTGCTGTGTTTTACCACCGGCAGCGTGCAGTTTTCCTCGCTGCCTACGGAGGCTGAGAAGGTTTCCTCAATGTGTTGGTCCTTGTTTCCCTCTCATTTTCTTGTCTTCATAAAGCTGTCAGCGTTCGTTTGCTCCGCTCCGCGCGCTCCTCGGGCCGGGCACGGACGCGGCGCCCCCCGCGTGACGGCGGACCTCCGGCGGGGCGGGAGCGCGGCGGGGCTGCGGGCGGAGCGGCGCCTCCCCGGGGCGGTACCGGCGGCGGCGGCGGCGGCGCGGAGCCATGGTGAAGATCGGCGTCCAGCAGCCGGCCGCGGCGCTCAAGCCGGAGCAGGAGAAGGAGAAGGCGGCGGGGGGCGATGGGGCGGCGGGCGCCGTGCTGCTGCCCGCGGGCGCCGTGAGTGCGGGGCGGGCGGGGGCTGCGGGCCGGGGACCCCCGGGGGGCTCTTCGCCCTCCTCTTTGCGGCGCTTCGTGAGCGGCGAGCGAAGCGAACTTCGGTGAGGTCCGGTCTGTGCTCGGAGCTCGCGGCCGCTGGAAGGGCTGCCCTGAAAGCGTCGGGATGTGCGGATATCGGCCTGCGTGCCAAAGGGTTGGAAGTTTGGGGAGGTGGGGAAGGGACGGGGCAGGATACGTGCAGTCCTGTACGTGCACTCCTACGTGATCCGTTGGCAGTGTGGACCCGAAGCACCCGAGCGCATCCTTTGGTCGGGGTTGTTACTGTGGGGAACGTGGTTTGGGGTTTGGCAGTGGCGGTCAGGTTTCAGGGTGTGACATCTTGTAAGGCTCAGGGCTGGCGTGGAGAGGAGCAGAGCTGTTGGGCAAGATGAAAAGCTAAGGATGAGAGCACGCATAGCTTCTTTCAGCTGTTCTGCAGTCTCAGTTGACACACAGAAGCCAAATTTGTTGGGCTGGGCAAGGGCTGGTGGAGGGCAGCGGGTCCCTGTAGCTGGAGCCTGGGGCAGCCCTGGCTGATGCAGGAGGCCAGATGTGCTTCTGCATTCTGAAATGCACGGAGCTGTGTGCAGTCTGACCACTTATTGAAACCCAATATCTCCCTGACCCAAATCCTATGGGGAGCTGTGAGTCTGCTCCGTTCCCGCGGCTCCTCAAGGCGTTCCCTCCTACAGGGAGCTCCCCAGAGGGTCGCTCAGCTTCAGAGGAGCTCATGAGGTCACCCCTGTGATCTCCCACGTCACGAGCTGGCATGCTCGCAGCTCTCCTAACTGCGCTGTCAGTGTCTGAGCACTCGGTCTGATATTAATCCAGCTCATAGAAGCCATCCCAGCACCTGCAATGGGGAGCCTGGCTGACTGCGTTTTTGTAGTGATTAGGAGAGAAGCAGCAGTAGGCTTCTTCCTGCCCTGGGAGCAGGGCTCATGCCAGACTGTGGTGCTGCCCCCAGCTCACTCCCTGTGATGGGAGCAATGCTGTCGACCTGTGGACTCAGGACCTGGCTGCTTCTGATGAGCAGAGTGAGAACAGGGTTAATGGTACTAACACGGGAAGTAAAGGTAGCAGAAGCGTGCTTCCATCATGAGTACTGCCAGATCCCTGCAAGCAAAGTTACCCTGATTCAGGTTGTGACAGATGGAGGAAATTGGCTTAAGCAGCAAACACTTGAATCGCAGAATCACTAAGGTTGGAAGAGACCATGAAATCACCTGGTCCAACCATCCACCCATCCCCACTGTGCCTGACCCAATACTGTGGGTTTTGTTCTTTGCCTTCTGCCTCCTGGGTAGCACTGTGTTGTTCTCTTAAGTCCACAGGGTCTACAAAGAAACTTTGAAAAGTTAATTTAAAGTGAAGACTCTAATGATTCCTTTATTCCAGCAGAAGGGCAGGCAAGGGAGACAGCGTGACAGGAGAGCAGGAGTTGGGTGGAGGTGAGCTGGGGACAGGGGGGTGTCAGGGAGCACACCCACCTATGGGTGGCCTACTCCTGAAGCTATTTTTCAGGTTATTTGTGATGCTGGATTCTTCTGTAACGGCTTTCTAGGTGTAGTTGGTACACATCTGGACCGAGGGGTGTGCTGCCCAAAAAACCTCCAGCCTGGCTCTCTTGCCATGCCAACAGTTCTTGTCTGTGTCTCCTGCTCTAGCTGCCTTGCAGCAAAATCGCATTGGTGACAGGCAAACTAGATGCTCTGCATTCCTTTTCTCTTTGATCCTGCAACTTCAATCCCAGCGATAGGAGCCAGAGCTGGGAAATGATTCAGCAGCAGCTTCTGCAGACTGTGAATTTTGGCAGGTGCTTGGTACATGCAGAGATGTGCAAGTGGAAGATGGCTGCAGTAGTGCTGTGTCCCAGAGAACGGTAGGCAAGGGCTCCTGACAGCAAGCTGGCACGTGATGAGCCTTGTGTTCATCTGCTGTGCAGCTTGGGTAATTGAAAAGAACATACAAGTTAACTTCAGTCAGAAAATTAATGCGATTTTGAGGCAATAGCAACTTGTTAAGGGCTTATAAAAGAATCTTGTTGTTGTTAGCAGAAGCTGGGGGATGCAGCATCTTCCTCAGGCAGAAGGCAGTCTGAGGCTGTGCAGTCAGTAGCATCATTTGTTGTATTCGTTGGAAAATATCTTCTCAGATGCATAATAGCATTCAGTGAGTTTTAATTGAACTCCAGATTTAGAGTCTGGAATGGAAATGCATATATCTGCCATGCCTTTAATGGCTCTGGGATGTACACTCTGTGCATTTGTGATTCATCGGGTTTCATTAAAGTCTTCTGCTTCACAAGAGGTGAATGATAAGAAGCAGGGGGAAGAGCTTCACGGTGCCACCATCTGTGGGGTTTCTCAGTCTCCTCACTGCCCCAGTGTGCCTTCTGGTGACTCTGGTTGTCCCTGGCTGCTCTGGTGTGTGGGCTGCAGGGATGCTGCCTTGGGGGTGCTTGGAAGGGAGGAAATGGTCTGAACTGGTAAAAACACCTCTGGACTCCTCCGGGGTCCGCTCCAGTCAGATACAGGACCTGGGTCTCACACTGGACTCCAGGCATTAATATTTCATATTCCAGCTGAACATGACAAGGGATCTGACTAAAACTGGAAGAGGAGATTGAGAGGGAATGGCCAATTCTAGCAGATACAGTACAAATGAGATTGAATTTGGAACCACGTGGCTCTCCTTCACCACAGAGATGTGGACTGCAGAGCTGCAGATGTGGAAACCTGAAATCTGCTGGAGAAGCATAGGAGGAAGGTGCAGGAGGACCTGGGCCTCTGTAGCTCTGTGTGTGGAAGGAGCTTTGGGCATGGGAAAATCTGGGAGTGGGGGTTGAAACGAGATGATCGTTGTGGTCCTTTTCAACCCAGGCCATTCTGTGATTCTATGAAAAACACAGAAAGCCAACAAACGTTGTGGGGGAGGGAAAAAGCATTTTCACTTGTGAGCTGGTGTTTTCTTCCCGGGTCACGTGTGGCATTTACATGCCTACAAGGGAGGACAGTGTGGTAGGGTCTGTGCTTCTGCTTGTTTGCTTAACGCATCCTCTGGATTTGCTTTGCAGAGCTGTCCTGCAGCTGTGGCCCCATGCTGAACTCACATAGAACAGTAAAACAGAGAAGAGTCTCCTCTCTTTTGCTGTTTGCTAAACTACATACTGTCTCTTTGCAGTGAATTTTCAAGCAGGGCTGACTCTGACAGGGTTTTCCTATGCTGCTGCAGGAAGAAGAGGTAATCACTGGGCAGTGTATTTTGTATTGGAGCAACTGTGCAGCTTAACATATTTCTGTTCCTGTCTGTTCCATGGGACACGCAGCCCTCCAGCTAGGTGCTCTGTAAGGACAGCCTTATTTCTGCAGCAGGCTTGGTTGGCTCTGCTAATGCCCTGAGTGGTTTTACTCCCAGGAAATAGAAGGGGGAGGCTGGAAAGCCTCCAGCTGGAAGCTGTTGCACCTCTGCCAAGAGAAATAAAATATATAGAAACGCATTCCTCATCCCTGTGCAAAGAGGGAGAAGAAATGGCCCCTAGCTTCAAAACCGAGATGGGACAGGGAGGAAAGAGGAGGTTTGTGTCCCTCTTGCTGGCTGGGGAGAGGGAAGGGAGGACCGCCGAGCGCCCAGGAGTTCTCATATGCTAGGCTGCTTTTCTAACATCCTGCTGGCTTTGTCAGGTAGCAACAAGGCTGTGGTTTTTAATTAGCCGGCGGTTGTTTTTGATATTTTAATTGGCAGTGCTGCCAAGCGACTCCCGAGGCAGGTGGCTTTGTTCCTAGTCACGTGCGGCCCTGTCGCTTAAAGATGCGATTAGATTCATTTATGGCAACCTTTTGCCTTCAGCTGTGATGGTCTCTTAATTACAGCCCTCCTTTTTGGCTCCCAGGCATCTCTGGGCCCAAAAGCCGTCGGCTGTTCTCCCTGTGGAAGTGCTGCTCTGTGGCCCTGCATGAGCACCGCTCAAGTATGGCACACAACTTCTGTTGCCTTGGAAACCATGTGCCATATATATATGCATGTGTGTGTATATATATGCGTGCATGCACGCATGATTTTCTTTCCTGATCTAAAGTCATAGGAATGCTCATCAGTCTGGAAGGGCCGTCCTGTCCTGCCCCAGGGTGGTGGCTTTGGTGGGATTCACTTGGAGGTGCTCAAAGCCAAGTCCAGCAGGGCTTGCTCAGTACCAGCCTACAGCCCTTTGTCAGCACCATGGTGACCAGCTGCCAACTGTGCTTTTTTGCAGGTGAAGTCAATGGGGGTATTGTTTACAGAATCACAGAATGGCCAGGGTTGGAAGGGACCTCAAGGATCGTGAATCTCCAACCCCCCTGCCACATGCAGGGCCACCAACCTCCACATTTAATACCAGATCAGGCTGCCCATGGTCCCATTCAATCTGGGTCTTTTGTTGCTTCAGGTCTTCATGTTCTGTAAAGCAGTATTTGATTTTTACAAGCAATATGGCACTTCATATGCTCAAGATATAGGCCTTGACATTATTCTCCCTTTCCCATCTTTGCTTTTGGTTGCCAAAAGTAAATATGCAGCAAGATCAATTAGGTTTTCTGATGTGAGTTTCTTACATTTTGATCCTGCTTCCTTAGGAGAGGAAGGCAGGGCTGCCTGTGGCAGTGGCTGTAATTGCATCGGTGCATCCTCCACATCAAGAGCACAGACAACAAGCACCTCCTGGAGATGGCTGACGTGTTTTACTGCCTTTCAGCTAGAGCTGCTCTCAAAACTGCATCCCTTTGAGTATTTACTCTGTATCATTTCTCTCCTTACTTGTCAGTCATCAAAATCGCATCTATTTTTAGTGGCCCCAAGCTCCTGTGCCGTTGGAGCTGTGCACTTAGGCACTTGCCAAGCTGTGCCCCCTGCTCATAGGCCCTGTGATGTCTAAAATGAAAGATTTGAAACCTTTGTATTTCATAAACGCAGGAAAAAATGGTTGATGGAGAGCTCAACAAATGCATCTTTTAATCAGCAAGATGTGCATGAGCAGATCTGGCTGTAGCTGGATATTACATTATTGTTAAGGATGTATGTGCTTATGCACCCATAGCAAGTTACATAAATACAGAGGGAGAATATCTCAAATCTCAGAGCAGCCGGAGGAGAGAAGACTTTGAGCAAAGCGATGGCTGCGGTGTTTCTCTACCTGTGTAATTAGATGTCATTCAGAAGGAAATGGAGTAGAGAAAACTGATAAGCTCTGAGGAGCTGCCTGCCCTGAGCTGTGTTCCTGGAGGAGCCGCTGTGCTGTTTTGATCTCCTGGCAGCAGCTGACGAAGGGAGGCAGGCAGAGCTGCTTCAAAAGCAGGAAAAGGGCACGCGCTGAGCCTGGCTTTGCTGAGGAGTGCTGTGAGTCGTGGGGAGCGAGGCAGGACACAGCACCTTTCATTTCCACACTTTGTCATCTCCAGCAAGACGCCGGTCAGGAAGAGAGATTGAAGCGAAGATCTATTTTTCATAAGGTTAGAATGTGCTGATAAGACATCTGAAAGATGGCAGCTCATTGGGTTATGGCTAGCAGCTCATTGGGTTATGGCTAGCAGCTTGCACTGGGGTGTGTTTCCAACGGCCAAGGACCTGCAAGGACTTCTGTATATGTATTTTTAAAGGGCAAGTTCTTCAAAAAGACACAACAGTCCCAGGGGGGAGTCTGCACTGACCTTGCTTTAAGAAAGTTGCTGGTGTGGATGCGAGGTCTGCGTGCAGGCTGGGGAAGAGCAAGGTGTGCTGCAAGCCAACTGCTGGCACTGGGGAGCCAAAGGCAGCTGGCAGCCTTTGCTCACGGGCTCTCTCCTTCTCTGAGCACAGAGTGCTGGAACCACTGCTGGCCTGGTGGCTCAGACCCTTCCCAACCCCATCTCTGCAGCAGAGCAGTTTCCCTTCACCGTGTCCTCAGAAAGCCTGGAAATTCTGAAGAAAATCCCCAGGCTGAATTAGGGCTTTTTTACCCCCCAGGCTGATTTGAAGACTCCTCTACCAGACGCTCTGTAGCATAACTTCTTCTCCTCCCAGCTGGGTACCTCCACCCGCGCTCTGTTCCTGCGCCCTCCCTGTGAGCAGGCATGGTGCTGAAGCATAAGGAATATCCTGTGCTATCCAAGAAAAGGAGTTCCTTTTTATACTCCATGCCCTTGCCTGCTGCCAGGCACTGTGTAGAGCATCTGCAAAGGGATCGTGCCTGCACATTGGAGCTGACTCAGCTCATCTAGGGATCCAGGTTGTGCTGGAGCTGCCTCTGCTTCGCCCGGTGGGATGAAGTGCCTGCAGCACAACGCCGGGTGAGCAGGGGCTGTCCTTGAGACGTGGATGCCTTCTATAGTGAGAAAGAGCAAGCCGTGCCTTTGCCACAGGTTACACAGGGGTAGTTTCTAAATTGCGGTTTGTTCCTAGTGACAAGGGTTGGTGGCCTTCACATGTGGAAGGAAGAGGAGATCTGCATCTCGGTGAAGGTTTGAGCTGCTGGTTTGTACACAATATACCACAGGGCTGGAGTTAATCGTTCCTGCCCAACACCATTGTTAACCTCACCTCCTTCATTGCCACTCCATTGGAGAAGTGGCTGTTGAGCTTTTCCTTCCTCTGTTAGGCTTTGCAGTGTTATTTTTCTATCTTTTCCTGGTGTATCACAGCTTCCCCAAGGGCAAAGTACTGAGCATCTTCCCCACCTCCTCCCAAATGCAGAGCTTGGGTGGTGTGTTACCAGCACGGGAGCCCAGCACCTTTAGGATGACATTTGCTTGCGGAGCGTTAACCGTTTTTCCAGCCATTCCTCGGTGTCAGCAGCAGCAGAGCTTTGTGTTCATTTCCACCCCCACTGGCTGCACTGCTTCTGCGATGACAGGTACCTGAGGAAATGTGTCTCGTGGAACACTGGACGTACAGCATGACTCTCATTGGAGCTGTTCGTGTCAGAGAACCTTTAACTTGTGCAGAATTGCGATTTTCTTTTCTTTGTGGCTTGTCACCATTGCCACCCCTCATCTGTAGGAGGAGGGGAAGGGGAGAGAGGAGATGAACTTCAAATGCTTTATTTTTCAGCTTGCTTTGTTTGCTGGAGGAGTGGCAACAAGTTGATTAAATGCCAATCCTTCAGCATAGGGAGCTGGCAGTGTGCTGCAGGTCCTCCAAAGCTGGGATGATGGGGAAATGCATACAGATTAATTTCTGCTGGAAGTGTGCTGCAGTTGCGGCTCCACAAAGCTGGTTGGGAGCCTTGGGGTTCCACCCTGGCCAAAATGCATTCAGATGTGAAGTCAAGTTGCAGGATCATGCCTCTATTCTTCAGTCTCACGCCCCGAGCTCGTGTGTAACCTTTAAATGATATATTGTTGATTTTCTGGTCCCTTTGGCAGCAGCTGGCTGATGCTCTCGCTCTTGCCTCACAGGAGGAGCAGGCTCCCGTGGTGCAGGGCCGCAGGTCATCGCTCAGCGGGGTGTGCTACCTGACCATGGGTCTCCTCGTGCTGCTCCTTGGCTTGGTCTTTGCATCAATGTATGTCTACAGATACTTCTTCATCACGCAGGTATGGGTCAGCTGGGAAGGATGGTTGGCTCCTCAATCTGGAGCAGCAAAGCAAACTGCATCGAGCCTTTGATTTGTGCTCCTGCTTGTTGCTTTGCACAGTGGGGATTTTGGAGCTGGTAACTGTGGGCCACGCAGATGGGGCATGTCTGAAGTGCTGGGCTCAGGCTCGCCTCTGTCCTGACCGTCAGGAAGGGTCTTCCAGACATCCTCCTCTACCCCTCTCGTGTTTTGTTTTGTGTTTGTTTTCTTTTTTTAACTCTTTGAAAATATGACCCGCAAGTTCAGCCTTGTGAACCCAATGTTACCGCTTTCAGTGGTCAACCAGTTTTCAAAACTTGTCTGGTTGCAGGGCTTGAGCAAGCCCTGAAGAGAGCAGGGGGTACAGGCAAGGCAAAGCAGCATTTTGCAATGGGTTTTTTAGGCTGTAGTGCAGAGAAACTCTGTGAGCACAACAAAAATAGATGCTGCTATTAATAAAGCAAGCAAAGCAAGCTGGAGATGAAATGACAGATGGGCCTACATCCTCTGTTAAATTCAGCACCTTTTCTTCCATGTAGGCTTTGCAGAGCTCTGCCTGGTGAATGCACTGGAACAGCAGCGCTGTGGATTTAAGCAGCATTGGGTCAAAGCCTGGGGAGGGAGACACAACACAGCCCCATTTTAAGGAGGAAATTGCTGTGCTCTGTGGCTTGCTGAGTGCTTAGCCAAGAAACTTCAGTCATCAATTTGCACTGAATACCTCGTTCTGCTGTTCAGCCAGCACTTATCCACTCAGCAGTGTCTTTTTAGACTCTCATAGCTCCGTACATGCTTATGCTGTCAAATTAATTTGCAGTCCTTGTTTTCGGGTGCATCAATTATTTATTACTTGTGCTCTCATACATCTGATCTGGAAATCCCATGACAACCATAGGGCTGCTCAGCTCTCCCACACACTGGTGGTAATCCAGTGGGCCCAGGTACAGGGATTTTGGTGCAAACAACTTTGTGCCTTTGGACTGCAGGAGAGCAGCGGCTCCTGTTTTTGTCCTGCTGCATCTGCCACATGCAAGCTATGAGTACCTTTAGAAGTGATGCTTTGCTTGCTCCAAGCCTGTATGCCTTATGGAGAAAAACGCAAGTACTGTAGGCTATGTCTGTGGAACAGCCCAGCTACAAAACATAAGAACCCACAGACAGTTTACCTTTCTGCTGACCCTCTGTGAAATCCCACGGGGCATCCTTTGTTTCCCTTGGATCTGACCAGCAGGAAGGAAGGAGGGGTTGTTTCACAGGGGTGTTTTGAACTGCCTTCGTCAAGAGCATCCTCTAGCCAACAGGCTGAGCTTGACATATGTGCCAAACGCCTGTTCAAAAAGGGTATTTTTACCCAGTTTCTCCTGTGTTGGCTGTAGTTGTTAATGGGGTGTGGGATGTATGTGTGTTGTGCCTCCAGCTGGATCTCATTCCCACAGCTTCCCCGCGAGAGCGTGTTTCACTGCGGCGTCCTTTATGAAGACTCGCTGTATTCGCCCTTCAAGGGGCAGCTGGAACTGCACGAAGATGTCAAGATTTACATCGAGGACAACTATGAGCAAATCAATGTCCCGGTGCCCCAGTTTGGAGGGAGCGACCCTGCGGATATCATCCATGATTTCCAGCGAGTAAGGGGCTCTTGGGTTCTTTGTGAGCATAGCACTGTTGCTGTTGTCCCATATCTGCACAATGATCTCATTTTTGAGATGTCTTCCCCCTCAGGGCCATGTCTGAGCTTTTCCAACCTGCTCCTTGTGTGTTCCTTAGGGTGGACTGAGGTTGCTTCAGTCTGCAGTGCTTCTGGTTTGCTGAACAGTACTTCTTTCCTTCCCTGCTTGGCCTCCTTTCACCTACGTTTACAGCCATGTTTCATTGAGAAGGGCTCAATTTGTTAATTTCTCTGCTTGGAACACAGGGTCTAACAGCTTATCATGACATAACGCTGGATAAATGCTACGTCATTGAGCTGAACACCACTATCGTGATGCCTCCACGCAACCTCTGGGAGCTGCTGGTTAATGTGAAGGTATGGCTGCAGTCCTGCTTTATTTTGTATGCTTTTCTGGGCTCTTGGGAAGCAGAAACAGAAAGTGGTGTCTGTAAAAGCGAGCCTTGGACCTAACAGAGCTGAGTTTTCGTGGATAGCAAAGCCTTTGTGGGTTGCAGCTGGAACAATCACATTGCAGGCAGCACAGTAATGCAGACATGACAGATGAACCTGACTGGGGCGGCACACAAAAGCAGCTGATCCCTTTCCCCAGGTGTTTACTGAGAGTTGGGAACCAACGGGGGTAAAAAAAAAAGCCTTCCTTTTGCTCTTGCTGCTGCATTTTACTTTTGCAGAGCTGTCAGTGCCCCATGGGGAGTACTGGGGCCTCTGCTTTTACCTCTTTGGGGTGTGATCTGGGGCTGCTCCCCCTGCCATGCTGAGGGCTGAAATGCAGCTTTTGATCTAATGCAGTTTTGCTCACAACAGGCATTAATTGGGTTTAGTACTGGCAGTTTTGTTCAGTTCAGAGGCTCATGCTGATGTATTGCACTGACTGAAAACAACCTTAAAATAGAGCACTATTAAATCTTAACAGCAGGAAAAAAAAAAAACAACAGGATTTTTAAGGCTGCAGAAGGTGAAGCAAAGCATTTAGTCTGGCTTTCTTACTCTCTTCCATAAGGGCCTGTTTAAAAGCAAAAAAAAACCAATATAATTCCCTGCAATGTGATGAACTTTGTGGGGTTAAGCTGAGAGGTGAAAAGTTGTGCCCTGAGAGATGCCCGACCTCTGGTCCTTGTCAATCTCCCAGCTTGTTTCCCAGCACTCCTTGCAGTCTCATCCACTGCGACCATCTGTTTGCTGTGCTGGGAGCCCTGCTGGGGCTACAACACACATTTATGTACAACTCACTCCAAACCAGGCACTGTGGCAGGTGACCAGTCCCCACAGCAGGGGAAATGGAAAGGAGAGGATTGCGCAGGCTGACGGCAGAGCCTCATTAAAACACTGGCAGAGTGGAGATGCTGGTCACGTCCTCAAATAACAGGTATAAAATCACAGGGAGTGGAAATTATACTTTATCGGAAATGGAATTTAAAGGGAAATAAAAATGTAGTTAAGATGGTTTTATGACTATTATGATCTCAATTCTTTAAAGAGCGTACAAAGCAGACGTGAGTTTAAATAAATTCATGATTATTGGGATGGATAAGTGTCCAGTCTGTCTGTGCAGGTTTTAATGTGCACCTTGGGGACATCGTTTTCGAGTGCTTAGCTTGGTCTTACCGCTCACAGAAGTCTCTCACCATGAGACAGTAGAGCAGGCTGCCCAGAAGTGTGCCCTTCTCTGAAGTACTCCTTGCTGGTCCTTGCTTTTCTCCTCTCAATCCAGTCAAGTTTCTCATGAATGAGACTGATTTCCAGCTGCAGGTTGAGTTTTGAAGGTGTTTGGTGGCTTCAGCCCTACTTCTAGCGCCAAACCTCAGTGCAGCAAGTAATTGTAATTGCTTTTTCTGGTGGCACAGGCACTCAGTGAAGCTTTTGCCCTTTCTTCAGCCTGCTGCCTGCTCGTGGTCTCTGCAGCCTTTAGGTATGGCTGTGCCCAGCCCAGATCTCAGCCTGCTGTGTGCCTTACCGGGCCTCTCTGTCTGAGTGCTTTGCCTGCAAAGGGCAGCTATGCTGCTTCTTGCAAATTTATGTCTGGCTTTGTGTGACGGTTCGGTGAGCAGAGCTACATGAGTACCTGAGAGTAAAGGATGGAAGGATGCTCCCAGCGTGCAGTCGCAGGAAGCTGGAGATGACCCGGTTAAATGATGGATGATCCACGTCTTTTGTAGAACCTGGTTAATTTCCCAGTGGAGATGCTGGAAGCTCTAGTTTTCTTAAAACTGTTGGCAGAGAATTGATGGTATCGTTTGTTGTGCAGTCCCATGATGGAGGAGCAAGAAATCCTGATTATCTCAGCTCCCACAGCTATTTAAGTTTAAAACAATGAAAGGACTGGATTGCCTGTGTGTGTGCCTGTAAGCCATTCCAAGGCTGTGCCAGATCCTGAGCCCAGTCCCCTGTGTTAACATGAGGACTCATGCCTGTAACTGCACACATCGTGTGCCCTCTCCTGTGCTCCCCCACTGAGAATCAGTAATTGAATTTCTTGCAGAACAGTTGTGTCAGTGTAATACAGGGTAATACAGGCTTCTGCTAATAATCTTGTGCTGCACCATTAAAAGAGAGCTGTATCGATCCGAGAGGCTCCGCCAGCCCAGCAGCACGGAGCTGACTTAATGCAGTGTGTTTCCAGGTACATCTCTGTGGAGATAACCAGTCCTGTGGTGGAAATTGAAGAGGTGAAGTTTGAAACTGCTGCTGTTGCTTGCCTTTTCGTCTCATATTGCTCCCTCTTGCAGAATCTGCCGATTCTTTTATTTCTTTGACGTACCTTAGGCAAAAGGCACCAGAAATGAAGCTCTGCTTCATGGCCTAGTAAGCATCCAGTCTGGTTAGAAGTGCCTCCAGTCCAAACTGTGCTTGTAGCATGGCTGCTCGTCGCCCAGGTAGCCTTCAGGCACCTCCAAGCTGGATTCCTCACTGCTGAGCAGCTTCCTGCAGCAGGAGCAGTGGCCTCCATCCCCGGGATACTCCCAGTTCCTCCATTTCCTCTCTCCCATTTTTTCCAGTCCCCGGTGGCTCTCTCCTAGCAGCACCTCTCCTTAATAAGAGATCACTGCACTGGTCATGCCTTATTTTGGTGGAAACTGTCATTTCAGAAGGGGACATACCTGCCTCAGACGTACATCATCCAGGAGGAGATGATTGCCACTGAGCACGTCAGCGACATGGAGCAGCTCGGCTCCTTCATCTACCGCCTGTGCAGCGGCAAGGAGACCTACAGGCTGAAGCGGAGGAGCACCAGGAGACGTAAGAGCCTCGCAGTGCTCAGCTGCCCCTGCATCCCAGCCCTTATTTCTGCTGCAACAGCCTCAGGGCGAGGTGGGGGGGTTCCCTGCAGGTGGAATCACACAGAGCTCTTGAGGTGTTTCCCACTTCGTTCAGCTGAACCCCAGACATCACTGCAAATGGGTGCTGGCTGCTGCCAGTGTTTCTGTTGTCACACCTATTGGGCTAATAGAAACATTAATACAAATACTTGCAGGAGCCTCCAGTTCATTGCACATGGACTCCTGGGGCTGAACTAATAGCTGGGCTATTGGGAACTGTTCAGAAAATTTCCTTAATGCGGACAGTGGCAGCTATTCAGAGCAGATTAAATCTGCAAATTGCCTTAAATTAAGTTCCTAATAATACGAAAACAGTTTTGAGGAGAGAAGGTTAGACTACCTTAAACTGATTTCATGAAAAAAAAACAGTATGTATTTTATACACAAATACTAATGTTGCTGCAATAATAATAACATTAATCTGTTTCAGCAAGTTATCTGTTTATTTTCAAGCCTTATCTGAAACATGATCCTATTCTTGGTTTGGCTCCCTCGGTGGGATGCTTGGTGCTGAGGGTGTCTGGAAGCTGTACAGGGCTGTACGTGCTGCTTTCCCAGAGCAGCCCCCATAGCCCTGTGCAGAGCTGCAGCCCTGGCATGGCCCTGTTTGTCAGCAGGGTGCAGCCAGGCCGTATCTGCCTGGTGCTGCTGCCCAGAGATGAGCTCCTGCAGCACAGAGACATGGGGAACAGCTGTTGTTCTCCAGAGAGGCTGAGGCTTTGGCAGCATCAATGTGTGTGCTGATTCAAACAGCCAGCAGGTGATGATTTTAAGCCCACATTGGCTCTGTACCAGCCTATAGTTTCTGCTGGTTTTGTGAGGATTTCTGGTCTCAGAGATAACACTGAGGTGCTGTCAGCTGAAGCCAGCTGCTTCCCTGTGGCTCCCCAGCTCATGGTTACTGCAGAACCAGGGCCAGGCAATGTTCTTCCTAAGATGAAATTATGCCATGTTCTGTATGGGCTGTGTTGTTCCTGCATCTCAGCGCTCAGCAATTGCATCCTTTCTGCTTTTCTTCCCTGACTTGATGCAGCTCTTATAAATGAACGCTGGTTGAATTTTGTCCTTGTCTTTCTCTCTTTTAATCCCTTGCAGGTATCAGTCGACGTGAGGCTGGGGACTGCCACCGTATTCGTCACTTTGAAAACACTTTTGTGGTTGAAACTGTTATCTGCAAAAAATCATGAAGCCCCTGTCCAGCTGTAATCTTCCATGGCTTTGCTTGCACACACATGCTCTCAGCCCTCTTTTTAGACTTGGTAATCTGTCTTACTTCTTTACTCCCTCTCCTGCTTGTGCAACTCTAAAGCCTTGGGTCTGTCATGGCCTCGCAGTTGATTCTGTTCTCTTTTCTCTTTACTGAGATGTTTTGCTGGGCTTAAATTTATGCAACAGTCACAGATGGCCTTGGAGCGGATACAGCCTCTTCCTCCCCACAGCGTGGAGATCTGTTTGAGGAGCAGGTTTGGGGTAGAAGGGATGGCCAACAAGTGGGATGCTGGAAATGGGTGCTCTTCTCCTATCTGAGCAGTTTCATGCTGGCACTGTTGTGAGGCTGGGGTAGAAGGTATACTACAGGAGGAGAATTACCATTCTGATGCTAATGTAATGACAGAGTATGTCATCAGATGGACTTAGAATTAGATGTGAAGTTACCAAGAGGGTGATTTGGAAAGCTCAGCAGAAGGAGGGTTTCTGCCCACACTGAACTGTGATGCTCACAGTTTGTTGTCCCAATGAAGACCAAGTTTTCAAACAGTGGAAGCAGCCCGTATGCATTGTTTCTGTGTATAGCTTCTGGCTGAATTGCAGTGGCATACCTGGAATCGGCCAGGCTACCCTCCCTCAGCCTTCAGTATAACAAGCAAGTGGTGTCTGCTTGTGGCTCCTGAGCTCATTTGCTGCCGTATTGCCTGAGTAAATAGAGGTGAGCCTCCAGACCTGCTCCTGCCTGGAAGATGAGTTTTGTTCACGTAGATCTGTCTTTCTGAGTTGTCAGAATCCCATCTGTCTGTGGATGGGTGCCATGCCAGCATGCAAACTGGTATCAGCAGCAGAATCAGTAGTTACTGGCAACTGCAGAAACAGGGTGGTTTGTTTTTTTTTGTTGCTTGTTTGTTTTTGAGAGCATATTCCCATAGGACTCCTCTGAAGAAAGCTGTTTTGATCATAATTCCTCTAGCCCAGCTGTGTGTTGTGTCATCTGTAGGCACCACTGGAGAGCAGGTGTTGATACAAGGCAAGATTCAGTGCATCAATATACTGCAGAGAAACTGTGTGAACAAAATTGTGTTTCTATTGATCATCAGAAAGAAAAATTTCAGGGTAATTAAATATTCTTCCCTCTGTTCCATAAATATAGTTAAAACTAATGAGGTTCTTAAAATGCAGGCAGTTTTTTGACTTGAAAGAACAGCTTGGCACATTCTTGTTAATTGGTTTTCAGCAAATCTGGACTTGTTCATCTGTTGAAAGGAGTTTGTTGTTTCAGGAAGAGAAAGGATAAAGTAAATGCAAGAACAATCATTAACTCAGCAGGACCAAAAAAAAATTAATGTATTTGAGAGTCAAACTTCTCTTAGTAGTACTGTGAGCTGATTATATGAAAACAAAACAGTACCTTAAAATGATCACATAATGCAATAGCAATTAGTATGTCCTTGGAAAAAAGATATAAAGATATAAAAAAAGAGTCAACCGTAAACATTAGATCTTAATAGGTAGAGCAGGAGATGCTGATCTCCTGCTTTAAGGTGGATGTGAGATGTCAGATGGCACGTGTTTCATGCAGACCGGTGAGGAAAGTTTCCCACTGCCGGCGGAGTATTTGCTTTTATAGTACAGCTGTGTTTTTCCAACTACAACTTGCTATTAGCCCTAGCCTTTCATCGCAGAGTGAATGATGAGAGTCAGAGTATCGGTTTGCTTGGTGCAAGTATCACAAACTGGTAAATTTAAGCCCTGCATTTCTCTCTGTTTCTGGGATCCTGCACTCAAGTGAGCGCTCAGACCTTTTCCCTTCCCTCTGATTCTGCATGAATTAACTGGTCATTGAATATGCTAACTCCCTGCAACCCCGCAGCTGTAAGGACAAGCCCTGATTCTTTAAGGTGAACTAATGTGGTTGCTGTTTCATAGGGTGAGAATGCAGTTGTCTAGAAAGAAAATGCTTTGTATATTTTGTCTGGTAGAACTCTTACCTCTTAGGAAACATCCATGGGATAATAAAATCTTTTACCTCTGATACATAAAGTGTGTGTTTGTTCCCAATCAAAACACATTTTTGAATTTACCTCTTCTGTACCTGGGTGCTTTTTCCTTTGTTGGGTTCTGTAGAAGGGATTTGCATTCTACAATCATTTGCTGAAGCCTGTTCTGTAGCTCAAGCTATTAATTTGGGCTGATGTAAAGATGGAAATGGTGGCAGCTTGCAAAGGTGTTTTCTGGAGTCACGTCTGGAAAATCCACTGTTCCTCTGTGTCTGTGCCTCAGGAAATTCCTGCGGCCCTTCCAGCAGAGAGGTCAGTGAGGAAAAAGCTGTGATCTGAGTGGTGCTCTGCCAGGAGATTGCTTACTGGGAAAATCAAAATGTTGTCTTAAAAAGTAAGTGCTGAGGAGATAATTTCAGTGCGCACCTATTAGGACCATCTGTTTCAGTGTTAGTACAAGAAATAGGCATATTCTGACTGTTGATGACCAGTGCCTGGAATATTCTTCATCATTACTACTGAAGTCTTCGTTTTTCACCTAGCTAACCATTTGAAGGGTAATAGAGAGGCAAGATCTGCTGTTACCATGAATTTGAAACTCATCTGTTTTGACCGTGTGTGACTACAGGATTTCAGGATAAGTTCTGAACTCAGTCTCCCTGCCGTGGAGCAGGAGCAGCCCGTCCCAACACCCTCAAGCACATTCCTTGGAATGTGTTGTCTGTGTGTCCCACTGCAGGCTGGGGCATCTTGCTGGGTTGGTGGGAAGTCCCGTGAAGCTTGCCTTGTTGTTTGTACCCAGCCCATGCGGCTCAACAAGAACAGATGTCAGATACCTTCTGTTGATGCCAAACTAATGAAAGACTGTTCTAACTCTTGGACACGCTTATATATGTGCCTTAGGATGTCCAAAATTGGGCCCCTTTGCTTCCTGGAGAGTAAGGATACATTGGCTAAACACAGTCTTGTGAACAGCAAAAAATATGCCGTGCTATTCATTCTGATAAAGGAAGTTGAGGATAGGTTTCAAGGTTGCTGAAAAAATCATCAGTTAATGTTTGTGACTCCATTTTCAGTCAATTTAAATACATTATCCACAAAGTTTTGAATGGAATGTATAGTTGCAATCAGACATTCAACTCAAAAATCTGATCGTGTCTCCTCCAGTCATAGAATTCATAGCTAATGGTGGTACCTATGTTGAAAAAGTGTTTTGTATCTGAGAATTTGCTCCATCAAATAATGCTATTGCTCTCTTCGTATTGGTTGTAATCTCCATGGAAGTAAACAGGAGGAATTGCTTTTGGAGCAACCTTGACAATTCCTCTTCATTCAGTGCAGCCCAGGCAAGTCAAAGGGTTGGACACCTATGGCCCTGTGCATCAGATATTTATACTGGCTGGTATTTTACAAAACAAAGCTGACTTCAGGACAGGGTGATACTAGCTGTTGCTTTTCCTGGTGGCTGCAGAACAGCCTCACGTACATAGGAGTTTTCTGCTTCTCTGCACGAGGACCAGACCTGATTGCTCTGAAATGCAGTGGCATCTGACATGCAGTGCCTGCAGGTAAGGCGGTAAGTACTGAGCAGGAATACCAACTGTGTGTCCCTGCCTGCTGCCTTGGGGCTGCTGCTTTCAGCATCTCTACTGTATTCACAGGCAATCTTGTTTTAGGATGTCTTGTTGATACCTTAGATGGGTGGGTTGAAGAATCAAGAAGCAGCTGTTTCCTTAAGTTTGCAGAGAATATTTTCTCTGGGAATATTATTATTTATAGGGAATGTGTTTATGCCAGTTCTGATTAATTGTTCTTGCTAGTAAAAAGAATTCTTCAGTGGAAGCCATGATGTTGTTCAATTCATTTGGATTAATTAATCTGAAAGGTCAAGTATGTAAGTTCACAATTGAGCTTTTAGATCTGTTTTTGAGTCCAATTGAAATCATACCATGCAATAGTTGAGATATTCTCATGCTCAGACTAGGGAAAGAAGCTTCAGAGAAGAAGACAACTGATTGAAGCACACTGAAGAAAATTCTCAGAATTCATTGTCTTTTAAAGAGATTTCCCCAGCATTTCTCTCTGTGCTCCATCCATGATTAATGGTGCAACTAATTTTTAATCTTGCTGTTCTATGGTTTTTGTGCTCCTTTCCTTTCAGGAGGTAAGATAAAGGCTTTGGATCAGGGCCCAGCTGCTCGCTGTTTTCGGATCATGATGCCACACTTGCCTCTGCTCTAATAAAGTCACTCCACATGGGCTGTTCTCCCTTTTCCATGAATTGAAATGAGTGTGTGTAAAATGCAGAAAAGCAGCCAGAAGCAGAGCTGTGAGTGCTAACACAGCACAGGTGGTCGCAGCTCAGCCTGGGCCCCTTTGAGACACAAGACGGGTTTGCAATACGTGTTTCAGACCATCTCTCTCTGGGCAATATAGCAGCTTTTAAAAAAGATTCAATTAAGATGTCAAGGATGTAAATGGTTTCTCTTCCCCCTCCCCACGACAGTGTTAGCCCATGAAATGGATGAGCAAACAGCAAGCAAAAGCAAGCCTCACTCACAACAGCAGGTAACAAGGAACAAACCTGCTGGCCGGGTTGCTGAGCGGGGAGAGGAAGGCATGTCGACTCCATAATGAGGTTTGCAGAGGAAAAGCACTTCGCCTTCATTCAGCACTTTGGATGGAGTTGTTTAATCACACCAAAGGGTAAATATTTGGCATGAATCTCCTTGGCAATCTGAACTCATCCAGCACTCAGCCTAGCTGTTCCTGCAGCGCTGCCTTTCGTCAGAGCAGGATTTTGTGCTCGCCCATACAAAATCAGCAGGTCTTTAATTCTTCAGTTCCCTTTTACCTCATGGTTTTGCATTAACCTCAAGCCGGAGAGCAGGGCTGAGGGCTGCTCAGCTCCTGCACCAGATGGTGTGGGGCTGCCACAGGTGTCCCAAATGGCGATTGGATGGCAGCACACACCTGTGTCCTCGTGCCCAGATCCTCCTCACGTGCAGCTTTTAATCTGCTCCTGTAAGTGTCCCAGTGCTCACCCAAATGTGAAGTAAACAGGGAAGCTCAAAGGAAAAACAGTGGTGTCACAGGCCACCTCTTTTCCTTGCAGCAACGTGGCTCAGTGCTATGAGGCAAGTGTTTCTGTGCAAAATCTTCACTGGGTGAAGGAAGGCTTTAAAAGCACTGCTGTTCTGATGGCAGCTGTTCTTAAATTTTGCAGGTGGGGTGAAAGGAGAGCAATCCCTTGCTGCCTATACACAAAAGAAACCCTCCAGCCACCATGCTGAGGAGCAGCCTGCCCAGGGAACGGCTGCCCAACGGGTAGCAGGGACTCCTTGTGGAAGCAAATCCCAAAGGCAGTGGGGTATGTGGGGAAATATTTGGGTATTGTTCTTTTTTGTTGCTGTTTTGGGGGTGGGAGGGTGTTGATTTTCATGGATTTGTTTGTTTTGTGTCTGAACAAAGCCCTGTGCCAGAGGGCAGCACCAGGAGGCAGCGTGCTGTCAGGGCACACAGCCCCCTGCAGCTGCGTTGCTTGCTGCCTTGTCACTGCTCTGCCACTTGCCTGTACCTTCTCCTGACATTTTCTCTTTGTGGCAGCCCAAGGGAGGGAGATTTTCCCACCAATTTACTGGACGATTCCTGCACGCTCCCACAGCCACTCCAGTTCCTATGGATCCGTTTCCTGGCACTGGTGCTGCTGCTGAGATCTCCCATGGCAGCTTCCAGAGCGGGCACCTGCTGGGGAGAGCTGCTGTTAATTTACCACCCCTCTGCTCTTTGCTTTGATTTGCTTTCCTTCTTTGGTTAATTTTTTCTTAAAGTTTTTATCTCCTTTCACTGTTTAGTAACAGATGTTGGACATCGTCTCTAAGGGTATAAATAGTGACAAATGAATAAGGTGAAGTGACAAAGAAAAAGCTAAAGCAAACCTGACACCTGCTTTGGGTTGTGTCTACAAACTTCCACCCAGGGCTGCAAAAGCAAAGCCCAAACAGCTCTGAAATTTTGTTTGCAGTTTAAAGATTCTCCTGAAAAACCTTCAGCCCTGAATGATTCTGCTGCTTCATCTCTGACTTTCCTTATTATCCTTCATTGGTCTTCCTAACAAATACTATGTGTATGAAAGCAGGGCCCTTTTTTTCCTCAAGAACTGGTCTATCCCCTATTAGTTATTCCTTGCTTGGAGCCTGACCACTGGAATCTCTGCAGTGAGCACAATTGGGTGCTCACAATTCAATCATGCCCTCCAGGCTACAATCCTGACTTCGTTTCCACAGCTGCTGACTGTGATATAGAAAAGGGTTTCTAACATCAGGTGCAGCAGAAGTTGAGGGAATGTGGTTTGCAGTGAGAATGGGGTGCACTAAAGAAATGGAAGTTTCATCAGTGAATTCCCCCTCTGCTCTCTGTTTGCTGCAACAGGGAACCTGCACTGTGGTTCTGCTCCACAGAATGGTTTGTCACCTTCTGCAGCCTTGCACTGCCTCTTCTTCATCTCCTTGGGTTTGGGAAACTTGCCTAGCAACACTTTGTTCTGACTTTTGTGCCACATTGGTTACCCACAGACTTTTTTTATAGGAGCCCTCAAACTGATCTGCAAAGATCTTCTGTTCTCCCAGCTCCTTCAGGGTTACCTTCAAGTTTTGCTGCTTTGACGTTTTTTATTTGCCTGGGAAAATAATTTGTGCCCAGACAGTTTTGTCCAAACTTTAATAAGAGAGGGTGACCTACATGGTTCTGTCCACATCTGTGTTCAAAGAACGTGTAAGCACTGGGTGGGGACAGGAGTGTAGACCTCGTGTGACAGATGTGACTGTAAGAATGGTGAAGGACACTGAAAATAAGGTTCTTGAATGTATGCAGATGAATTCTAGAAAAACAGCCCCTTCATCTGAAGCAAATTAGTTAATTCTCGATATGGGAGTCTGGCTGCCTTGATCTGCAAGCTACACAACCTGAAGTTCAGTGAGTAGGGTAGGATTTAGGAGTCCTTGTGCTGTGTGTGATGCCCTAAGGGGTTGGAGTTTTGTGGCAGGCTAGCAGTGAGGGGCAGTGAGAAAAGCCCAGTAGAGCCCATCCCCATTTAACTTGGAATGGGTGATTAAGTGGGGCACACCAGAGCATCTCAGGTGGCAGTGAACATGTCTCACTGTGCAGCAGGGCTCTGCCCCATGACCCTGGCTGGGCAGATGCAGGCAGGAGTTTCTGCAAGAGCCTGAGGTCAGATCAAGGATGTGTATTTCAGAACTCAGCCTCTTTTGCTTTCTCTCTACTTATATAAAATGGCCTGCATAAACACATTCATTATTAATACTAACTTATGTCACTCTGCATGAGGGAAACAAACCTATCCACAGGGCTTTTACAGCTCCACTAGGTCTGGTTTGCAGACAGTCCCATTCATTTGTTTCTGCCCCCTTCTAGCTGGGATGTTTTCAAGCCTATTAGCACAGCTGAAGTCAGACTGGTCTCTGCTGTCTGAAACTTCTCATGCATAAACCTAATTCAAATACTGTCCTTCATTGTCTCAGACACTGGCTGGCCAAGTGGGCCTGGTTAGATGTCACTCGGGGAGATGGTTTTGTTATCACAAAGTTAATACTTAACAGGGAATGGTCAGGATTGCATTGATGTGTTCTGAAGTGCAGTCTAACCTGGATTTCCTGGGTTTGTAATGCTTAGTTTCAGATGAACAACTGACTGGCCACGTTCAGAACTCTGAACTGCTAATATTTGCTCACAGGTATAAAACCAGCTTAATCTTTTGAAACAGAGACAAGGATTAATAGAAATCTGTGGTATATAGCAGACATAAAATTTTACATTCTTTGGTGTTCTTCCTGGGAAATGTTTGTGATCCTTCATAGAACAGCTGTTGGGATTCTTAACAGCAACTGTTTTGTCATGTTAGAAAATGTGGTAAATGTCACCCTTTTGAAGCAGCAATGTACAAAAATTGGAGTAAGGAGAATAAGTGAGATGAGATGATGGATAAACAGAGATGTTGTAGGTGTGCTTTGCCTTTCACAGTATCTAAAATACAGGGAGTCATTGGAGTCTATTGCTAGAAGTTTCTCAGTGGAGGGAAAAGTCTTTGCCTTTCTAGTGAAATCAGTTCCCCTTCACTCTGAAGCTGAGCAAGGCAAGCTGCTGCACTCAACTGAATTGTACTGCTGCACACTGCTCAGTTGCAAATCCAGGAGAAGGCTGCAGAGGTCAGGTGTGAGAGGCAGAGCATCCTCCCACCAATACCAAGTGTGTCCAGGGCTGTGTGTGCTTCTGACTCTATGACAGCAAGGTCAGCAATGGGAGTGCTCCTGTCACTGTGTTGTGTCATTTCTGTCTCTTTACAGCACTTTATCTGATAACATCACTATCACCAGTAAATGCAGTCAGTAAGAGAGTATGCAGCAGCTTTGCTGAATGGAGTGTGATTTCTGCCTGTGCCCATTGCAGCACTCCACTTGCAAAGCAAAATAAACTGTTTCACACTCCTTCTCTGGGAGGAGGAGCTGCCTCGTGCTGCAGAAATGCAATTGAAATCAGTTTCCCATTATACTAAGGCATTTTTTGCCTCGTGAGGAACTGATACAATCTCTGTTCCTATATTCAGGCATTATTGGTTAAAGTCAACAACCCCTTTGGTGTCCGTTTTAACCGCTGCTAAGTCTTCTGCACCAGCACTGCTTTCTTCTGTTATACATAAACCACGCTTCCAAAAAGAGTCTGAAATCTCAGTGATAAAACCTCTGTGTCTATTGCAGTGCAGCTAAGGGCAAGCTGTGAACAAGGAGGCGATGAGGACCTGCTGTCTGCTGGCAGGGAAGCTAGCTAGATTTTCTGAATTTACTGAGGGAGGAAATGGAGGATACTTATGTCCGCATCAGGCTTGCATTTCCTTCTTCAGCAACTGCACTTCAGTGTAGATCTCGTACAAAGATGTGGCAACATCATAAACTTTCACTTTCTCCACATGCAAAGTGGAGCTCAAGAGGAAGTTTGGTTTTTATGCATAATCCTTCTCACAGATGTACAGAGAAAAGTCAGTGGAGAGGCTGGAATTAGTATCCCTGTCTGGGAGATAATACTGCAAGGATCCAGCTCTACGTGAATATGAACACTAACTGCTTCAGTCGTCATCATTCTCAACCCTGGCAAAGGGACTGGCTGCTACAGAGCAGTGCTGGAGGCAGCAGTGTACCCAGGGCACTGCGTTGCCTCTCTCAGTCCCTCTCTCATTAGGACCACCAATGACAAATGCAGGCTATCTGGATGCCTGTGAGCACTGATAAGAAAGTAACTGATAGGTATGTGAGGCTTCTGTCAGTGGATTTCTTTTATTGCCTCGTTTGTTTGGGAAGTGATAGTGCTGATCTTCTTCCAAGGTACAAAAAGTCGTTTGAGGTCCTATGGTGCTGGCTGCTGCTTTGGGGCTTTTACCTTACTTCCCTGTGAATGGGGGGGTTGTCATCTGTTCACTGCTGTGCTGGGCTCAGGCTTTTTTTTATTGAATGTCTTGTTTGGTTTGGCTCTGTGCATGAAACTGCTTTTGTAGTTCCAATCAGGAAGGAACCAGTATGTGAAAAGCCTGTAAAAAGAGCTGGCAGGGAAATCTGGAACTCAGTCTATAACACAAACGTGTATGATCAGGGCTGTAGGGGCAACAGGATTTCATCAGAAGTTTTTTGCCATAAACTCCATGTCTCTGCTTCTTTGCAGCCCAGGGCTGTAGTGACTGAAGGCCTGGAGGACTGCAGGTGTGGTGAGGACATTGGAATGAAAAATGCTACCATTTGTAAGTAAATACTTTTTTTTTTTTCCTTCCCAAAGTAAAAGGGAATCACATCCCAAGAGATATGCATCGCTATTTACAAGAAATAATTTCGATTCTTTTTATCCATAAATGACAACACAAAGCATTGTGGAAGGGAAGCAAGCTAGGAGCCCTGAAAATAGGCTTAGTTCTGTTCTTTTTATGACATATTTTCACATCTGAGTATTTAAAGTCAATGGTTTAGAAAAGTAGTTCAAGGTCCTGCACCTTTCATGATAGCATCTCCTCTTGCTGGGTAAAGTAACTAATGTTCAGTGTGCGGATCAAATCTTTCCTCTTGGTGCTTTCTCACTTTGTTTTGCAACGAACCTTCTGCAGACTCCTTTAAAACAAAATAGTAACAGACTGCATCCAGACAGCAGTTCAGATTAGCCCAGCAAAGGGTGACCTGAAGGATGTCCCGTAGCACAGTGTGACAAGGGATGTGCATGATGTCATTTCTTACCAAAAAGTACAGGAAGAACGTCACATGGTAAGGTGTGAAACAGACCAAAAGCGTGACAAAGTTTGTCACTACTACCTTCTCTGCTCTGGTCATGTGTGTCTGGGCGTTCCCTGATTTTCTGTGATTTCTCAGACACCTGATGATCTGAATGGTGCAGAAGGCCATGGCCACCATGCTGCCAAAGAAGATCATCTCCAGGGTGATTATCAGGCCTGTGTTTTCCCACGTGCTTTTGGAGAAGTTGTAGAAGCAGGACGAGATGTTGTAGCTCTCCTCATGAAACTGGGAAGTAGACACAGTCCCGGCCGAGATGCCCAGGCAGATGACAGCACAGACCAGAGCAGCTTTCTTGGTGGAGCGCAGGGCAGGGGCCATGAAAGGGTGCTGGATTGCGATGTAGCGGTCAACGCAGATGCAGAGGGAGATGAGGATGCTGCCATACATATTTATAAAGTAAAGACTCTCCAAGATGGAACAAAACATGGACCCGAATTTCCAGTTGTTCTGGAGGTGATAGGAAACTATTTTAAAAGGAAGAGTGAACAGCAGCAAAGTATCCAGGAAAATAAGGGCTATCAGGTAGACTGTAGATTCTGACAGCTTTTTAGCTGGAAAAAACAGCAACGAGAGGGCCATCACATTGAACAGCAATCCCAGGATAAAGGTGGGAGTGTACATGATCAGCTGGAACAGTTCTACTCTGGGGTTGATACTGCTGTTGGTACAGGTGTCATTCATGTCTCCAGGTAAGTATAGAGAAGAAAATCACCTGCACCACAAGGAAGACTGAAGACCACATCTAAAACCTGATACAAAGGCCAGTGAGGTCTGCAAGTGTCTGCAGACCTGGAGACAGTATTTCTTCTTGGTGTGCTGGCTTCCCAACCTGTAGAGACTAAGTCTTCGGAAGAAAAATGAAACTTAGGAACCCAAACATTTGCTTAAATCAGCCAGACTTACCACAGCTGGTAAACTGCTGTCTGCTGCAGAGTGCAGCAAATATGCAGTGGTTTCTTCTCCCTGAGAGAGGATTAAAAATATCAAGGTAGACAGGTCTGTGCAGGGGTCCTGAAGTAATCCTCTGTTAGAAGAAGGCTGGACCCTGCCCTCAGGCTCTCCTGATAAGGATCAGGAAAGCTCTTATTGGTTTCTGCTGTCAGAATCACTCACAACTCCAAACGCACAGGGATACTGGTTCTTTCTTGCAGCCAATTCTTCCACAGCAGATTTTGTCTGTAAGTAAACCCTTGTAAAAATCTTTCTGTTAGAGCTCAGAAACCACCTTCATCTGCCTCCCCGTAACTGTTGTTACTTTTACCTGGTGCTTTTCTTACATGAGTTACTGACACTGATGCTGTTTCATTTTGGATTTGGCAGCCTGTCATTAGGTGGACAGTGAACGTTCCTGTTCTGCAGACCAAGCCGCTTCCCTGGCGTTTCAGAGGTAAGCTCTCTTGCCCTGTAGTTTGAGACAAAGATCAGCACAGTGGAAAAAGAATTCTTGCATAAAAACTAGCAATTATTAGAAAGGAAGAGCAGGTTGGTAGTTTGCTCTGTAAGGACATGCTGATGTCAGGTAAACAGTTCTGTAAGCTCTTGGTTACATTACAGAAATGAGAAAAACAGTCCCAGAAACTCAGCCTGATGAGGAGAACAGCTGCTGGCATGACTGTGGGTGCCAAAAAGCATCCCTCTGCTGGGTCAGGTGCCGCCTGCATGCTGCTGGAGCAGATATGTGTGTCCCCACATCTGGCAGTACTGCTGGCTGTGCACTCAGTAGCCTCCTTTGCTGCAGAACACCATAGAGGACAGGGGGGCACAGCTTAGCAGTGGGGCAGCAGCCCTGACAGCAGTGCAGCTCTGCTGCTTTATGTGAGAAACTGAGGGAAAACAAAGAAAATCTCTTATCCAAATACAACAGGACAGGAAAGCCTGAGGTTGGGAAGCACTTGGGGATCCGAGTGGGTGGAAGGGAGAAGCATCCCCAGTGATGCAGCAGGTTGTTCAGTGCCTGGGAGCTCAGCCCTCCTGGGGTTACACTGACGAGATGAAGCTGTGCAGAGGCACCTGCACTGAGCAAAATGGTGTCCTGAGCCCACAGCGTGCTGCTCTCCTACGGAGTCCCCATCCTTGCATGAAGCATTGCCAGCCCTTTTAATGCTGGGAGGGAACCGATTGCTGACAGCCAAAGGGATGACAAGTTGGTTAAGGAATTCCTGAAAAGTTATCAGTATTGAGAAAGTTCTTTGCTGCATTGCCTTTCTAAGAAGATTTCATTAGACATTTCTTTTTCCTTCAGTGTTTGTTTTTTTTTTTTTTTAAATAACAGTGTGTCAAAGGAAATTGTAGGTGTAGGGAAATAAAGTAAGAAAGTAAAATTTCAGCTGCTTACCCAAAGTTTTACTTGGTACAGGTCTAGTGATGGTTAAAAGACATTTCAGTCTAGCTTGATGTATAGAATTCTAAAAAGAGAAGATGCCAAAGGATGGTTTGTTCTTTCTTCAGAAACAAACCAAAAAACCCCAACAAGTAAACATGCTGTGAGCAAAACAGGTGACACAAAGTACATTTGGTTTTCAGATCATGTAGCAAGAAGAAAGTTTCTAAGGTAAGATTTCCCTATAACATAATGCTGTATCTTGCCAACTCACCTTTGTGCTATCTCTAGCACTTCTTGTTGACTTGCTCCCTTTGGCTTGTAGAATTCTTGAATCTTGTGTGTTCTTTGAAGGCTGTGGAGTGAGCTGCATGCAAAGGAACAGCCCATCTGGAGGTTAGAATCCATGAAGTGCTGCTGCTTTTTGATTCATCATACACTTCCATTACAGCAACACATCCCCACTCTGTCTACGCATATGCGCTATCTGGGTGATCTGTCACAAAGCTCATTTGAGGATGTAAATAGTTTGCTTTGTGAGGCTCACATCTCCGTGAGTCACCCATTCAGAACAGTTTCCATTAACAGAGGAGGAAATTCTGGCCCTGCAGAGCTTTGTGTGACTTCTTTCTACAAGAGCATTGGCTTCTTTAACCTATATCCTGAGCTACTGCTGTCAGTGCCTCTTCCTTTTCGTGCTACCAGAAATGAAAAAGAGATCATCAGTTTTCAGTGGTGACTTTTAAATGTTCATTTTGAGTTGGTATTTAAAAAAAATGAAAAAGAAAAAAGGAACAAAGGAAAAAGGTTGCTCTTGCATCTGCTTATACTGCTGAGAAGCAGAGAATTTACCTATGAAGAGCGTCAGGTGCTGACTTTGTTAAGGGAGGAACAGGAAAACTACTTTTTTTGCCCATTGTATGTGTTTTTGCAATCCCCTTTACTAAAAGGGGAAATAAGGATGATGGGGGTAAATGTAGGGATGTGGGACAGAACCCAGCCACCACAGATCTCCGCTCCCTTGTTTGCAGGTGTTCTGATACCCAGTGTTCATAAGGATTGCTCACTCTTCCCCCTCTGCAGCGATTTCTCCTAGTACTTGTGGAGTTGTTTCTCATTTTCCCTTGGATGCATGTATTCTCATGGCACGTAAGCACTGCCTGCCTCATCAGGGGGTGCACAGAAGTCTGGACAGAAAGCCTCGTGTGACTGCACGTCTGAAGAGGGATGCTCTGAAAAGGAGTGGATGAAGAAGCAGAAATGCTGGGGTTGTTCTCAGCACACCATGTTCTAGCCATTGCCAAGGGCTGGGCTGCTTTTTGTCAGCAAATATCCTGGCAAGATTTCTAGGGAGGATTCTGTAGCTGAGTGGCCAGGATGGCATGCAGGTGGTGCAAATTCGCTTGGAGAATGTGGGAAAAAGTGATGCTGAGGGATGACAGCAAAGGGGAAATGAAACAGTGTGAGTAACATATAGAAAGGCTGGGGTACTCCCAGACTGTTGATTAATAGTGCAACTTGTGATGCAGGGGTGAGGAAGCTGCGGGCAGGCGAGGTGCCTTTCTTTTCACACTGTAGGCCTTTATCTTATGCTGATAGGTTGTGATTCTTCAGTAGGACCACAAGAGTGGGAGGGCTGCCCCTTGTCTTGCAGTCTGATTGTTTGGCCTGCTCCACTTTGCACTTTGCACCTCTTTGCACGTCACCAATGCCACCAGTGGGCAACGGATCACCTGATGTGTGTGTCACCTCCTTGCTTTTTCCTGAAGAAGGAGCTGTTCCACACGCATTTTGACTTGTGTTGAGATATTTGCCATTTCTCTGTGACCACCACACAGATTTGCCCTTTAGGTCATGCAGGCAGCCCTGGGTGGCAGCAGGTTAGGCTCTGCTGGTTCCTTGTGCTCAGCTTTGGGGCTGACCCTCCCCTAGCTGTGCCAAGCTGCACCGGCCAGCTCAAGGTGCTGGTTATCTAAATTAAAGTCTAATTAGGGAGAAAAATCATTGTTCTACTCAAGAAGAGAGAGCATTCTCTGCTATAGTCCTCTTGCTTTCCTATTTGATTTCCCATCTCCAGTTTTCAGTTTCTCACACCTCTCCTCTGCCCTCCTATGTCCCCGCCCCTGGATTTTCCCTTTTTCAGAAGGGCTGCTGTAGCTCTGTGCTGGAGAGGAAGCTTTGGGAGCCAGCCAGAAGGGAACAGCAGTGGGGGACACCAAACTGTTTAGCAGGTACCTCATCAGACCAATGTGCAAAGCCTTAGGATGGTCCTGGGGAACCTTCTACTGCTGGAGTGCTTGTCTGGGGTCACCATGAAGAGCTGAGCTCATCTCTGAGCTATTTGGTCCTGCTGGAGGGCTTCAATGAGTGGCACAGGAACAACACCCTTCCCTCCATCCCCCCTGGCTGGAGAAGGCCCAGAGGCTTTTGGAATTTGTTCCTATTCACCCTGAGCCACGGATCACATCCTGGCTCTGGGCCATCACAACATCCCCACAGGACTGCCTGCGACCTCCAGGAGAGCCAGAACTTGGATGCCACGTCCTTCTACCTAAATTCGTTGGCTCTGCAGTCATTTGTTGTTGAGTTGCTCCATCTCGTGGTTGAAGGGGAAATGCGAAGCACAGTTTCAGCCCTGCAATGTTTCGGCCTCTACCTATGGTTGATCACCAGGAGGAACAGTGTGTCCTGTAGCTGAGAGGGCTTACCCCATAATTGCCTTCACCAGCAAAGCACTTGGCTCCCTGCATTCACTGTGTTTGCTCTGCTGCTCATACCGTGCATGTCCAAGGAGTAAAGAGCAAAGGGAAAGCCAAAAGCTCTGCCTTTTGTGTTGGGCTGAGGGGACAAAAGCACAAGAAACAGCTGAAACAACTCTATTGAGTTCAGTAGTTATTGAACTCTCAATCAAACAACTTCCTCTATTGAGGAAGCGACCATAAGCACTGCTGGTGAGGCCAGGAAAGTGCTGTGCCAGTGCAGAACTCTGACTCCAAGGGGAGGCCAGCTCACCAGCTTTTAGTGTCCCTTGGAAGGACCCAAAACCTGAAGGAGAAACCTGCAAACCTTGGCCGTGCAGGAGAACCATAACTGTCTCAATGGAGAAGGGTTCTTTCAGTGGTAGAGGAGCTAAATCTGCTGTGTGAGTGAGCAGGTGAGCTGATGTCTCCCTTTGAGGAGGTTTTGAGTTTGTTGAAATAGATGATTCATTTCAATAGAGATATCAGCTGGGGATGCTGTGTGGGGCTCTTGAGGACATGTCAGCTTGTTCTGCTCTCAGCTGCACAGCACCTGCTGCCAGCCTGGAGGGGACCTGTGGGCCGTGCTGCCACTCTTTCCACTGCATACCTTTGGCTCAGCCCAGTGAGTGTCCAGCAGTGCTGGTGTACCCACAGAGGGCCCCCACACCGCAGCGTGCCTCTTTCCAGCCAAATGGCTGACTCATTCTGACACCTCAAAGGTGGTTTTACACTTTTTTTCCTACTCAAACCCTAACCTACATTTGTCTTCAACTCATACCCAAGTTGGCTATTTAAAAGAATTTCATCCCAGAAATAGCAGTGAGGCACTGGCACAGCTGATTGATGGGGTCACCATCCCTGGAGGTGTTCAGAGCTGTGGAGATGTGGCACTGAGGGACGTGGGCAGTGGGCACGGTGGGCTGGGGTTGGACTTGAGGATCTTAGAGATTTTTTCTAACCTAAATTACTTTATGATTCTATGATATAACCCCAATCCCTGGCATGAGAAAGCAGACACTTCAGCTGTCCTTGTGCAAAGTGGAAAAAAATCAATAACTGATGATGATTGAGGAGCTTTTGCTTTGTTTTTCGTAGAGCCAACATGCACACACAACTGCACGTAGGGGACTGTATAACTGCACCTCCTGTCCAAAAGGCAGCCATGCATGTTTTGAGCCATTCAGGCTACTTGTGTGACTGAGGAACCGCTTGTGGTGACAGGCATCAATCAGCCTCCACATAGCATTTGTTCTCAGTGTTTTCCACACCTCATTTCTGGAGGCGTGTGAACTAGCACAGCGTGTGAGTACAGTGTGTGACAAGTTACTGCAGCCCGGAGGGCCTCAAAAATCATTATGAGAAAATGATTAACCGAGCAAGAACGTAAGAGTCATTGTAGGAAAGAGAAAAAGTGTTTCTAATAAGATGTCCTATCTTTGAAGCCAGCAGTGGATGTTTAGGGGAAGAATGTCAGAAAGTGGGATCCTGCTGCTGACAGTACTTCCAGCAGCAAGCTGCTCAGTGAATAAGGAAAGGGTGGTCATAGAGCTGTCCTCACTGAGTTCCCCAGGTTACTTTTTTCTTCCTATTTCCCACAGAGTTCTTCTGCTGACAAACATCTATGCAGTGTGTGATATACTTGTGTCTGTTCAGCGGACACGTCTAGCATTTTATTCTTGAAAGCACAGACATAACCATTTTATTAGTTAGTATTTTAGGAGATCAGTTAGATGTGAATTGTTGAATGATGGCTCTGGTCTTCTGAAGGTGGCAGAGATCTGAGGGCAGCAAAGCTCCAAGTGTGGTTGTGAAAAGATGAATTAGAAAGGTGGTCACAACCATCAGAATGCAATAGCAGTACTTTTCCCTGAATATGCATTGAAACTGTACTCCCAAGAGTAAAAAATTTTTTGTCATTTTGTTTTATTTTTTAATTCATTCTGCTTTCTCAGAGTTTTGCTGTATTATTTCATTACCCAAACAGCGTGTGAATGCAATTCTCTCTCTTCTGGCTGTGTGCTTGATGTGGCACATGTGATTTTGGTGCTTCACTTGGTATCCCGTTGATCCAGTGTTACCTCTGCCAAGTACTGTGCTGATGAGGTGTTTGCTGCACCCAGCCAAGTCTTTTTTAGGATGATTTGAATGTCTGCACACATCACAAGGCACCATGGCTGCCCTGCAGGATCAGGCACTCAACTCAGGGAGTTTCCATCCGCTCCTAAATGTAGCTGTTCTGGTGTCATCCTGGTAACAACAGAGGTGGGATCTGTCATCTTTTCAACTTTACGCATAGGAAATCGTAGCAGAGAAATGCAAAAGGACTTTCCAGAAGTGATACAAAAGAATGGAGTGCAATTTCCCAAATCTGGATAGCTTTTTCCTGATGCCAACGTTATTTTTAGGCTGTTCCTTCCCAAGGATCAGCTCCCAGGTCAAACAACACTGCATTAATCGCATCTTGGTATTCACACTTCTTTGGGAAGTCCTGTGATGTTCAGAAATGACTGCTGTCTGCCCTTTCATAAGAAGAATTAACTATTCCCAGTTGGTGAGTGCATTTCTTAACTCTGCTGAAGCTATGTGCAACATGCAAAAGAAGTTATGAAGAAAAGATAACGTTTCCTGTCACTACCCATATATGTACACCTTCTCTTAATTCATATGAATTTTTCAGTTTATCTTATTTAATTCCCATAACATTTTATGTGGGGTGAGGCTTTTATGATGCAGTTGATGCAGTTACAGTACGTGCTGATTGCAGAAAGGATGAAGAGAAGAATATCTTTCTCTCCCTTTTTTCCGTAGCTGAACTCAGGAAGTGGTGGCCTTCAAGCAGATCTTGTGCCGTTGTAAGAGCGTTGATGGTGTTTGTGCAGGAGCGTAGAGTGGTGGGGTTTGGGGTTGAGTTTTTTTAGGTTCTGCTGCACAGTAATCATTTTTTTCATAGCTTTGGTTGCTAACAGAGAGAAGGTTGTGTGGGATAAAGTCCGTTCGCTTGTTTCAATCACGTTCAGATGAAAAGCAGAGGAGGTCTCTTTGTAGCTTGGTGTCCCTTCTTGTCACTGGCCCTGTTTTGTAGTAGAGTGCAGGCATCTTGGTTGTGTGCTAGCTGTTGAGGCACTCTCTTCCCAAACCAATTACTACAACTAACGACATGCAGACTCAGAAAGAGAATCCTGAACTTCCAGCTCTATTTTTAACGCCAAACCCTTCAAAAGCCATCAGTTGATGACCTCATGGGCAGCACCCCACAGCCTGCAGACACTGATGGGAGGACGGCGCTCATCAGCAGGGCACCAGGAGCTGGGACCCAGATGGCGTGTGCTGCCAGGACGTGGTAAGGCGCTTTGAGCGGTGATGGCTGGTTTGTCCCCGTCTTGCCGTCTGGCACAAGAGCTCGTGGAGCTGTGTGGTAAACCAAAGCTGGGGAGCAGCTTTCGGTCTGCCTGAAAAAGCAGCAGGCAATGTGGTTTGGCAGTGCGAATGATGCCTTTGATGCTGGTTGCCTATAAAAAGAGGAACTTGCAAGGTTCAGTGCTTGTGAGGTGATAAATCCAGAAGTGTTTGATTGTCAGATTGTAGAAAAGAATTCTTGAACCACACTCAGGATGTAACTGACATGACTTCAAAACATTCTTAGAAAAGCATGCAGCAAATGGCGTGTTTAACTGTCGGAGCACTCGCTGGAACTCGAAGGTTCTCTCAGGAAATATCCTGCAACATAAGTGGTTTTAAGGGGAGCAACTCTTCCCAGTGCCCTTCATTCATCATTTTGTTTTAGTCTATTGAATCTCAGTAAGTTCTTGGCTTTGAGAAACAACAACAACAAAAAAGAAATGTCAGAAGTTTTTGATTTTCATGTTGTGGAAGTGGTGGTTTTCTCTATCACGTTTGTAAGTAAAGGCTCTCCATGTTGTTGCTTAGGTTGATATTCGTTTGGGTTTTTTTGTGCTCATAATTATTCAGTAAGGCAAAACCTTTTACAGTGTTTTTTTGACTACTTAAGGACTTTGATGGCCCTTCCACTGCCTGGTGTGGCACATATTGCACAACAGGACATCGTTACAGATGTGCATCCCAATCTCTGCTCTGCGTCTCTGACCTCTATGCATGCTGAATGGCTGTCCCATTGCCCCTTTGGTTCAGTTTTGCCTTGGATCTGCCTTCTCTGTTGTTTGTGGTCTACTTACTAAAGATACGTAGCTTGCTCCAAAAGTAATGACTCCCTTTTATTTCTATGGAAGCTACAGCGGATATAAAGAGTACAGTAACACTATTTGGTAGCGTAAATTCTTGGCTGCAAAACACTTTTTTTCCATATCGTCACCACCAGCAGCTTATGCCTTTTCACCAGCAGTGAACAAAAGCCTGCATGCCATGCTTGTAAACTTCTATACTAGCAGAGGTGACCCACTGTTTCACAGCTGCTATGACAGCATCACTGCTGAAACACATCACCCACCCCTCACTGTGCTCACATCCACTGCTTGGTCTCCAGAAACATTCAGCAAGCATCACTGAATGTCAGTAAGTGCCACTTTTTCCTGCATGGATGAATTCATTTCCATCTCTTTGCCTCATGTGCTTCCATGTCAGATGCCATTTTGTCAGACTGCCCCTGTGTGTCACACAGCAACAGAACATAACGGGATGTTGGTGGGAAGGCTTGACCTCTGCTGCCATACCACCAACATCCGCCTCTGATGTTGTGGGCTAGCATCATAAAATAGGAGGCATTATTTTTGGAGCAGCCCTTGTACAGATAAAAAAGAAGAAAGGAAAAAAAAAAAGTATGAATTTATGAATTTTCATAGTCAGTAAAACTTCCCAGTGAGTCAGCTGAAATTTTGGAGATTTTGCTTGACTGCTAATATTGCACTCTTAAGACTTCCCGTACTTATTAATTTTTAGTGAAATCATCTTCATTTGTATAAAAAGAGCCCTGATGAAGTTGTTACAAACATTTATCAGGCCACATCCTTTTCCTGTTGTTTTCCTGGTAAGCAGTTTTAAAGGCAAGTATTTAAACGTTTTAGCGTAAAAATGCTCTGGTATTGAACATTTCTTTGTAAATAACCACAACCACCAATGTAAGAGCATCTAGGACTGTAGCTTTGATGCTTACTTAGCAGTCCGGTTTGTGATCTGAGTGAAGGGGAAGAGGAAAAAAGTCTTCGATTTATTAATTATTACTATTATTTTTAACCCCAGGTTTTATTAAAAACAAATTTCATCCTCTTACTTTGGCTCAGCTTTTGCAGTGCTGACTCCTGGTTCTTCTGCGTAAATTGTTCCAGGATACAGAATACCATTTCCTCCAATCCTCTCTCACTAACTTGAGAAGAGTACATTTGATCAGATTGGAGATGATGATGAGTCTAAGCTTCTAAAACTGAACATTATTAGAGTCTATATAGGGCCTGTAACATTTCAGCCCATCATAAATGTGTTCCCCACCAGTAGGAGAAGAGGAATGATCCTGAACTGAACATCTGTATCACGTGCTTCCCTCTTCTTTAACCTGTTTATTAACTAAGACGTATTGACTGTTCTGTGTAGGAGAACTCCTGCTTACGGTTCTGGATTAGAAAATGCACATTTGGAGGAGAATCCTTAAATGTAACTCCCCTAGAAACAAATGGATACAGTATATGACTGACGATTACCCCTGTTCGGACCAGCGGCTTCCACACCAAAATCCAAGGTACCACTGGCAGAGGTATGTGATGCTCTTGTAAACCTATTTGTATTTGTTAACTGGGTGCTAGTTATACCATGACCCTTCGTTTTATAAATGCTGAATCTGCAAAGCCATGTGAGCTGGGTGGTCTGCTGCTCTCCTGTGCAGCCGGACTGTGCCGTGCTGCTGGAGGAGCTCCTGGGGGACTGGGAGGGTCTGGGCGCTGCTGAGCCTCCTGGCAAGAAGGAAACCCAGACTGATGTTTTCATGTCATGCAGCAGTCATTTCATTAGCCCCAGTTCTCACCATATTCTCCACCCCCAGATGTAAACAGACCTTAACTCTCCCGACTCACAGAATGAGAAGGAAGGTGACTCAGTCCCATACCTTCCAATATACAGAAAAAAGCAGCTTTTTCTCACTGCTGAGGGAAATCTGGGGCAAGTTCCATGAATAGTCTGAGCTGTGGCTTTCTAGCAAGTGTCAAACCCAGAAAGCCCCATTGGCAGGCCGCTCTGTGAATGAGCAGCGCTGGTGGAAAGAGACCAGCTCCCCGTGGCTGCCTGCCCTGGTCTGCTGGCCCAGGCACAGCAAGGTGCACCCACTGCTCCCAACAGCCTGTGGGGAGGGCAGCATCCTGCCTCTCTGCTGCTGCTGCCCGAGACTGAGCTGTGACTTTGTTCCAGCTGGCTGAAATAGCTGGCGGCTTTGACCTTGCTAGATGATGTCTGCACTTACATCTTAGGGCCAGTCTTTGAGTTTCTGAGTTCTAGCAATAATTAAAAAATGGGAAGAAGTGCTCGGCCTTGTTGACAGCCACTCTTTAAACAAACAAACAAAACCCACAAAACTAACAGGAACAAACCCCCACAATTATTTTTAAAAGACTCGAGGAATGACAGCAGGTGGAAATCCATTTGGGAGCCCTGGCACCTCCTGCCAGTGTAACTACTGGGGTAGTTGCAGAGCTCACTGAAGCTCGTGGGCACGCTCTGCACCTTTCAGTCAAACAAATTTGCCAATTGTGCCTTTTTCAGCAATGCTTAAAAAAACAAGAATCCAAAGAACAGGCTGCTGCTGCTGAGCCCCTTGGGTGGGTGCAAACTCTGAAAATGGTTGAGGTTGGCATAGTATCAGCCACACTGAGCTCTCATTCCTCTTAAAATACTTCTGTTCTTGGAACTGAAAAGCGTTCCACCCACCTGTGGGTGGATTGGATGCAAACAGAGTGGAAGGGTTGTCTGGTCACAGCTCTCGATTTATACAGGGGTCAAATAAGAGGCAGCACACAGCAGAAAGCCAACAGGCAGCAGCTTGAAAGCAGGAGTCAAAATGAATCGTGGCTGCATGACCAGGGGTATTTCAAGGACAGAAAACCGAAGGAAGAGCTCGCTAAGGGCTGAAGGAAAGGAAATGGCTCCTTGCTATTTCCTACCTGCTGGGCGCTGGGAGACAGAATGCAGTGTACGTTCTTTAAAAGTGTCTGTGTGTGTGTGTATATATGCTTATATATACACCATAACTGAACTAGACTGAAATCTGTGAGTGACGACTCTCAAAGCATTTGTTTGTGCTCTGAGTAATGGTGTAAGACAGAACAGCCACTCGCTTTTAGCATGAGCGTGGAGGGGGAACATGTGCTGGTTCTCGCATGCTGTCAGCATCAGTGTCAGTGATGTCTGACTGCAGCACTGCCTTCGGTCCCTGTGTGTGCCCACAAAACTGCAGTCAAATTGGCTTTTACACAGCTCAGCCAGCACTAAGTTTGAGAGTGCTGTAATAAATAAGAAATGATCCAGGAGAACTACGCAAACTGAATTACCAGCACTGAAACTCAAAAAAAAAAAAAAAAAAAGGAGAAAGAAAGAACTGAAGGGTTTGCTGTACAAATCAGGCAAATATGATTTAGCTTCGTTCAGAAAAGTCTGTAACTCCAAATGAGTCATGCTGCCTACTTTTCGGAAAAAGATTTAATTCTCAGGGTGTCTGTGCATTTCTGTTACCTGCTACAGAAACCTAAAGGGAAATAGGTCTGAAGGTGTTAACGCTTTATTGAGCTTAGTGTTACATAAAACAACAACACACAACAGACCACACTTGCTGTAGTTTGGTTTTGGCATTTTAGCCTATCCTTTACCTCCCACTGTTTCAAAGAATTCATGCCACACATGGTTGACTTTGCAGCGTGGTCTAGCTCTGTAGGTTAGAAGTGGAGAGCTGGAGGTCTACACAGTTCTCTCTGCAGCCAGAGCTGTAATGTGCTGGGCATGCTTCAGCATGATAGAATCCTAGCATCGTTTGAGTTGAAAGGAACCTTGAAAGACCATGTGGTCCAACTCTCCTGCAGTAAACAGGAACACTGATCAGGGTGCTCAAATGTGGTGCAGTAGAAAAGGGGAGATAATTTTGAAAGAAATCCTTGCAGTTATTTTGATGGTTTTAATGCTGTTTCGGTATTTCTTTTCAACTGCCATAGGAACTGCTTTCCTTCTAAAAAGTGAGCCTTGCTTTCACGGGGCTGGAGTTCTTTGCTTTTGGAAAAGACATGGTGTGGGAGGAGAGAAAAGCCCGCGCTCTGCAAAAGGTTCCAAGTGCAGAGATAGCCTGAGGTGTCAGGATCTGTATGTATCACACACATTTATACAATTCCAAGTAATACTGGGAACAGTTCCCCAGCCAATGTAATCCTGAGCAAAGGGGAGAATGACTGTAGTGCAAAGTTAGGTTATTTGTAAACAAACAAATCAATGGTTTGAGAAAAGCACCAAAATTTTCCCTTTCTCCAACAAGATCAGGCATCAGTAGATTTAATATAGATCCTTATAACTGCCTGTTTGAGCTCTTCTCAGCCTACAAGCGGAGTTGTACACGGCCTCCTTTTCAGGGCTCAGCATCTGCTGTAATTATGGGGCATCAGAGATGCTTCGTAAGTAGCAGTACGGTTTCATCTGCAGGATACAGATGTGCAGGTCTCACAGAGGCAGTGTACCTCTGAGATGTGATTCAGGAGCCAGGTGTCCTATAAGCCTTCTGTCCTTGGGCAGGAGAGACTGGAGTTTGTTGAGGGCAATCCAGATGTTAACCACTTCAATACCTCACTTGAGATGCTGGAAGCTCTTCACTGATGGCAGAGTGAGCTTCAGCAGTTCCTTGGCATTTCAGTCAGTCAGGACATACAGCTGCTGGGAGGACCACTGGTGAATCAGATGGTGATGCTGAGCCCTGGCAGTGCTGCGGAAAGCAGAAATTAACCTTAGTTTCATTTCAGAACACTGTACAAAAGATAAAATAGCTGTATATGTTTTTACACGTTTCATGTGACTGGACAACATACAGCCTTTTTCTGTTCTCCCTCCTGCCTTCGACTGGACGTTCTCACGTGTTTTCTTCAAAGCTGTGCTTTTTCTCTTTGATCTTGTGTGATCTTAACATGGCAATCATGAGTGTGAATGCGGTCGTTTGCGGTTTCTAGAACAGCAACATGGTTTTACCCAAAGTAAATGCGGCCTTTCTCAGAACGGAGATTAACTGAAGGTCCTTCACTTGCATACAAGTGCACTTTGCCAGGGCTTGGGAAATTTGACAAAAGCAGCAGTGGACCGAGGCTCCAAAACCGAACACGAAGGAGCAGTTTTCCCATCATGTTTTTTTAGCATTGAAATCTGCTTATTCACGAGGCTGTTGCACTTCACCAAGTACAGGAGAAAGCAGGTCATTTTTCAAACCTTCCCTAAACCTCCTGGCTTACAAGCAGCATCATGCCCTCTGTGCATCAGGTGGGTACAGGACCAGCAGTATGCCATGAGGCAGCGCCTGTTGGCAGGATGGGAGCTCTTGTCCTGCAGATCTCTCTCACCCTATGGGCAGCTCTGGGGCTGGGGCCCAAAACAGTGCCTCAGGAGTGCTTGAAGAAGTGGTGAGCTGGGGCGAGAGGAAGCACATGGCAGGACGTGGTTGCTCCCAAACACCTGCTTGTTGAGTGAATTTTGAGACTTGCCACAAAGTCTGCAGATGTGCCCAGTCTCCCCACAGTGCTGCCACCGAAGTCAAAAAGTAAGCACACAGTTTTCCGTGTAGGTGGTGTATAAAGCAACAGATCACGATGCAGAGGAAGTGCCAGATGCTGGGGGAAGCTTTTTGCTGTTTGGCAGGTGGCATAACTTAGTGTGGGTGGTACTCTGCTGCCTGGCCTGGCTGTGTGCAGTCCTCAGTGGCAAGCCCTCATCCTGGGACTGGGTGCTTGGAAGAGCAGTGACACTTATGGCCTGTTAGCAAGGCAAAAAATGGCAGTGATTTAATAATACTAAACAAAAAAATCCATGGTTCTTGCATCCATTTTGCTCTGGTGATCCCTGTGTCATGCAGCATACTGCAGTGACAGTTGCTGGCATTTCTTTTTACTTAATAGATATTTAAAAGTGAAATGCGCAAGAGCAGATTTTCAGCCAGAGTCCAAGGCAACGAGTCATGCAGCTCTGGGCATGGTTTGACATGGGTTTGGGCCGTGCTGGCTGCTCAGCCCCTGCCCACTGCCTCACCGCACTGCTTCCCGTGCAGCCGGCGCTGCTGCACGCACTGTGCGCTGTGAGGTGACGTTCTGACTTCCTCAGATGAAAGACACTGTAGAACTTCACCTATTCTTTGTCTGATGATGCGTGCTTCACTGCAGACACTTGCTTTAATCTACGTGTCGGCCAGATGTTAAAAAGGTAATTGGAAGATTGAGAAAGACCTCTAAGATCCCCAAATCCAACCCCACCCCACCGTGCCCACTGCCCCCTTCCCTCAGTGCCACATCTCCACAGCTCTGAACACCTCCAGAGATGGTGACCCCACCTCCACAACTGGTGTAGCTGTGCCAGTGCCTCACTGCTCTTTCTGAGGAGAATTTTTTCCTAATATCTAATAATCCTGGCCCCACAGCCTACAGTTTTGCTGCTTTCTGAATCAGTCATTGCAGCTGCAGAAGCACAGCCTATGCACGGCTGGCTCAGGCCCATCCCTGCAGCAGAACTGTAGGCAGCTCCTTCCCCTGGCAGGCTGCAGCAGACAAAGCTTGCCACTATGATTGCCACCGTGCACTGCATGCTGCTGCATCCCCTGTTCCTCTTCCTCTGGGTCTTCCTTCCTCTTGCAGACAGCAGGCTGGTGGCTGAGGGAAGCAGCAGCTTCCCCTTGGGGTGGCTGAGCTCTTGTCTTCATTCCCTGCATTTTGGCAGTGCGGGGAGTGCAGACAGAGCAAAATGTGTGCAGGGGAGGGTTTGTCTCTGTGTTTCTCTACAAGCCTCACAAGCGTAGTGATTTGAAATTCAACCCATCCTTAGTGTTGGGTAAAGGCAAAGGCGGGCACATTTCTCATCAGTTTGTTTGGGGTAGGCGTGTTTCTACCCCTCTTCGTAGTGACAGTTCCTCCTGGGAAAGCCAAATTCCCTTTTGGTGTGTGGTGGCTGAGGTCCCATCATGCTTAAGGTGCTGCTATTTGTGGCTCTGCTGCTGAGCTCCAGGCACTGCCAGTGAGCTGGGGGGGAGAGAGCATTGGGAACAGGGCTGCTGATCTCCCTGCCCTGCGTTGTTACCTACTGACTCATGGGCCTCCCAAAGCACACTGCCACTCTGCAGCCCTTTCCTCACCTTTGGCTGAAAGGATGGAGGCCTGAGCCTTGTAGGAGGGAGTTAGTCTGGAGTGGAAGATGTTCAGAAAGCGAGGGGGGGAGAAAACCTTCAAAACCATTTTGATGAGAGAGGGAAAAAGTCTTTGAGAACACCATAGCATTGATTCCTCTTTCGTTCACTTGTGTGCGTGTAGGACAGGTTTAGTTGTGGTGGGATGTATGTTTTGGACAGGCTAAAATGTGGTGCTGGTGCCCAAGTGAAGTATCGCTTAGAGCAGCATACTGAAATGTGAGGTTGAGGAAGGATATCTCTGAAGATCAGTTTTGGTCTTCAAACTGGTTTCAACTTTGCGTTATCATCTGCAGGCTTCTTCAGGCTTGGGGTGGTTGCTCTTCTTACTTCTCAGATCTCTGAACGCTTGAAATTGTTTGATGTGATAAGCTGCTAACGTGACATTTATTTAAGAATATGAGTTGTCATTTAAGCACTGTCCTACGCTTTTTTCAGCTGGTGTTTTTCATTAGAATGAAATGATGTTGGCCTGCAGGGTACGTGCCTGCTTTGCCCATAGTGAGTCAGCACTGCCTGTGCTTTGCTCTGGGCTTGGATCCTGCCTCAGCTGCCTGCTTGCAAATCATGCAATAGTTTTTTTTGAAGGCTATAAGAGGCAATTTTCCAACTAGCCCACACGCTTTCTATTAAACCAGTTATTTCAAAGGGATTTGCAGGTAGTGGTTTTTTAAAAGTTCAGCATAATATACATAGTCTGTGGAGTGGCACTGGTATAAAGTTTTGCTCTCACGTAGGACTGGGAAATTTCAGATGAGATAATCCATCAGGGAAGAACAAGATCTAGAAAGTCTGGGAAAAACCCTGTGCACAGGTTTTATCTTTTTTCTGTTTTCTTTTTCTTTTGGCTGAACCACTCTCATGCTTGATGGTCTTTCAATTGCTGTATGAGTCTACCCACTGCAGCCTGGGAATCACATTCACTGCTGAACAGATGCTAGCTAGTTGTAGAGCGTTGGTGGAGTCACGTATCATTGATAAAAATGCCTCATGGGACAGTCAGCACTCTCTTACATTGTGGAGGCCTGGCCCATCCAGAGAAGAGGATGGAAGGGCCCCAGGTCCAAAAGCAGCACTGCTGCAGGCTGCTATCGGCTACTGAAGGAGGTATCTTGGATGGGTTCTGCAGGATGGAGACACAACTATCTTTCCTGTAGCCCTGAACTACAGGTAAGAGCTGACGATCAGTCTGAGAGTCACATGTGAAAGGGGAAGAAAGCACAGTGTTGGAATAGTGGGCTTTTTTATTGCATGGTACTAAGAAGCTTGTAAAAACAGCATTTGGAGTAGATGTTCTGGGTGGGCTGTGAGACACGAAGGGAATAATAATTGTTTCTGAAAAGAAGAAAGCATCGTGTGCTTAGCCAGTAGAGTGATGTATGTACATTAGCTGGATATGCGGGCTTCTTTGTAGTAGCTGATTTATTCTTCTTTGATACTCCGTTTCTGAGTAAGTCCTTCCAAAGGAGTAAGCTAATCCATGTGAAATATAGACTGCTAATGGCTGTTTTTGATTAGCACTTTTTCTTTCTACTAGGACAATGCTTCTTGTAGCATATGGTACCTGTGAGTCCCTGGGAGAAGAGCTGGGCATATGAGGGATCCACATTCATTGTCATTTGTCTCTGAATTAGAAATAACAGCGAGAAAGAAAAAAAATCTCTACTATTGTGAAGTCTGAAAATTGAAGTGGTGAAGTCGTGTACTTAGTCAGGAAAGCTTTTGTTGTTGTTTTTGAAATGTCAAATGCTTTTCAGTTTTATTCATCATCAAAAGTGTTCTGTGCAATCTCGAGTTGCTCGGGGTTTTTGATTGCTGTTCTCACTGGTTTAAAAATACAACCGACTGGAGATTCTCCAGAGCTAAGAGTAAATTGGGCAGAGGAGGCTGCATGTAAAATTCCGATCTGAAAAGTAATATAATTTCAGCTGGAGGTCAAGGATGTAATTCAGAGATATTATTTAAATTTAAGATCATCTTGAAAAGCAGTGAATTGAAAGTGAGATCTTCTTACTGAAAATGTATGCTCTTTTGTGCTAGAAGGTTTGACTATTGTAGTAGACCTGTAAAGCCAGCACAGCTGGGTTCTCTTCCTTCTTCCTCTTCCTTCAGGAGTGTCAAGTATACTCAGGTCCTCTCATTTGCAAGCAAAATGTGGTCAAATTGAGTTATATACAGTATCACTTTGGGCCTACAGAGAAGTGGCACTGGTGATAAGGAGGACAATAGCTCAATGTGTCTTCTAGATTCTATTCTCTGAGTTTGCTGTGATGCATGGCATGAGCAGGCTGAGTCTATGTGGTGGCTACCATCGCTTCCATTCTTACAGATGATTTTCATGAATAGGTCTCTGTTTCTTTCACTGAGCAAATTAAGTTTCTTTCTGTAAATGAAGCCTTTTCTCGTCTGCCATTGACAACACGTGGCCATGCGCACAAGCGCTGTCGCTATTGCCCTGGCAAATCAAACTTCTCCACCCAAATCTACAAGAATCCTTGTATCCTTTTCCTCTCTGCCTGTGAGGTCTGTGGACTTACTCCTTTTAAGATTATAAAATTGTCTTTTCTGAACATTTTTATTCCAATAAATAGTTGGAAGACAAGGATATTGCCTCAATAGTCCCAACGGTGTTCATCATGACTTTGTGCCATGTGTCACAGTTGCTACCTGGTGGTTTTTAAGAAGCTACTGCAACTCCTCAGTCTTGTGCTGTGCTTGAAATAGCGCTCTTGGCAATCAGTGCCATAATGTCAGCAACACCAAAGCAGCTTTTTGTCTTGTACAGGAAAAATATAAATAGTTTTGCATTTGCTGAAATCACAGGGCGATGGGAAGGGCTCTCTGGGACCAGCTGCCTTCTCACAGCAGGTATTCCTCCAACACAAGATCAGATCAATTCTGTCACATATCTGACTACATGTTGGAAACAACCATGAGTGGTTGTCACACAGCTTCTCTGGGCAATCCCTTCCAGTGTTGCATTGCTCTCTTGTGGAGAAGAGGGTAGTTCCCCCTGGAAGGGTACTGTCAATGATTTATGGAGAGATTTTCCTCAGAAATTTATTATTTAAACTTCTGGGTGTGATCATCTTTCCTGTTTTTACTTTTTTCCCTGTTTATTTGTGGTAATTCGGTTGTTCTTTGATATCATAGCTGTAAACATGAAGTACTTTCTGGGAAGCAAAATCTCCAGCTAAGTCTTGGAGCTGTTTTAAGGAGAAAATGAGTTGGGAATGCTTGGATTTTGTGTTGAGGGGTATGGTTTAGTGAGAACTATCAGTGATAGGTGGATGGTTGGGCCGGATGATCTTGTAGATCTTTTCAAACCTTGGTATTTCTGTGATTCTGGGATGAAATAGAGAGATGAGGATCGTATGCAGCTGTCAGACTGGGGAATTAAAGCGTATTTTCAAATCATACATTTCACACATACAGTTTATTTTCTAGAACATGTTCTTTCCAAAACACACATTTCATATGCAAAGTAATGCAAAAAGTACAAGAAAGAAAGGCTATCTCATACTGAAAAGGATGCAGGTTTCTGAATGATCGAGGCAGTTGCAAATAATGTTTTGCAGACCTCCTGTTTTGTAAAACTTCTCTTTCAGCATAACAGCAGATAATGGCAGAGGTGATGAAAAAGCCTCTGTTTGTCTCTGAGCTCCTCTCACGACTCAGCTGTGGCAACATTTAGTATTAATGAGCTGTAAAGCACTCTTACATTAGGTCCAGTATGAGACATGTACAGCTGCCCACTTGTGCAATCAGTCATTTATTTAGAAATCAATGGGCTGGAAATTCTATTTTCAAAACTAGCCCTGTGTCTTCTTTTTCTTTCCTTCAAACAGAAGCCAATTTCTTTTCCCGTTTTAAATAAAAGGAGTATCTGCCCCAGAACAAAGACCTGGTTGCCACCAAGTTAAAGCAATTTTGTGGCTGTTTTTTAAAGGCACAGAAATGGATTTCTTGATGCGAAGGTGCTTCTGGGTAAGAGCATAAACCATAACAATATAATGGTACAAAGAATAGAAGGCTTACATTGCAGTAAGGAAGCCTTTAGTTTCAACTCAGGGCTGAATGTACAAACAGCCCAAGGGCAGTGACATACCAGAGGAGCTGGCATGGAGTGATTAAGGCACTTCCAGAGACATTTTGTGAAATGGAAAGTCCAGGCCAGGAGGACTCCTCTGAGGAATGAGTTTGAGAGAGCTGATCCAGTGTTTCATCTGGGAGCCTAGAGTATATCAGACAGGTGCTCCCAAACTGCATATCATGCTTGTGATGTTATACTTGCTTCCATACGTTCTTCTTCCCCAAGAAAGAATGAGAAGACAGGCAGAAAACTTTCATACATCTATCTTGTTATATCTTAGAATGATTACCTACGCTTTGTATGTACAGCCTTTCACTAAATGCAGTATTTGAAGGGGTTGTTTTTAATGTGCAAAAGCTGTTTTAAAGTTGCAGGATAAAACCATGCTGGTTCCTGAGCCACAATTATCAGAAAGGTTAGTTGTTTGTTGCTGTTACCCAAGATGGGGTGTTGTAGAAAGAGATGTTGTCATGTACTGGGCAGCCTGGTCCTCTGTGGAACAGCCCTGGCTGGTGTGTGATGGTTTATAATGCTTATGGGAGGGTCAGCCGAGATTTTGGAGTAAATGAGCTTCAACAGAGACCTTCTGCAGGGTTTCCAGAAAGAGCAGAGCCAGACTTTTGGCCAGATACTTTCCTATATCTCTCAGTTACCTTTTAAGTTAGCAAGAAGGTGTTGAAGTTATTTCTGGGTTTGACTGACCCAAAGCAACACGTTTCTGATCACACTGGTGAAAGCAAAACCACTGTGGCGATGGCAAAGGCTGATTTTAATTGGCAATCCACTGACCTCGGTAGTTTTCTTCTGACAAGTCTTTCAGGTTTAATAGGTTGCATCAAGGTTAATGCTTCTTTTGGCATCACTGATATTTTCTTAATGCTGGTTCTTTTTTCCCCATATTCTTCCCCTTTGATCTCAAAAAAGAAGACATGTTCACATTCGTGAGAAAAATATTGTCCTTCTCCCTCCTGTGCCCTTCCTGCAATGGCCAAGCTGGCCTTACTGCCATGTTGGGAATAATGCTATCAGTGTTCCACCTGCAGGGCAAGCGGCAGCCAAGGAAGAGGCATTCTGCTGCAAAAGGCCCTGTCATGTGGCACAAGGCTTAAAGACAGGGCATCGCTGAATAATTTTTTTCAGGTGTGTTTTCTCACGGAATTCTTTGGCAGCAAAGTAATAGAAGATGGCATCCAGGCAGCAGTTGAGGTTGGCTAATATCATTGACACCTGGATGAAGAGGCTGATGGTTTGTTTCAGGCGGCAGTCCACTATCACCTGCTGTCTTACCAGGCACTGTAGGCAGATGGCAAGATGGACAGGTGTGAAACATACCAAAAAGACAACAAGGTTGATGATAATGACTCGTAAGGAATCTTCTACTTTCTCTTTGGCTCTGTTTTTATGATTCAGAAGAATCCAGATGTTTTGTGCAGAGCAGAAAACCATCACTGAGAGTGGAATCAGAAATCCGAAGATCTCCACGGAAACGATGAGAGGGACACTCCAGGCCTCATCTGACATGTTGTGAAAACATTTCAAAGAATCTTTCTTTTGAAACGCATATATTGGGCTGCTGCAAAGCCAAGCTACTGCCCAGATGAAACAGCAAATCAAGATTGCCCACCTGGGGGATTGGTTAGCTCGACCTTCAAATGGATGCTTTAAGCAGATGTATCTGTCAACAGTAATGCAAACAATGATGAAGATACTGCCATAGGTATTGACGAAGTACAGCGACTGTATAAAGGCACATAGGAGTCCGGGTGCTTCTGCAATAGAGTAGTGCAGCTTAAGTGGGAGGGAGAGAAGCAGCAGAACGTCTGCAAGTGCCAGATTGATCATATAGACTGAGGTTTTGGTTTGTTTCTTCCAAAAGCAGCAGAATACTGAGAGGGCCAGGGTGTTGAGAACCAAGCCAAGAATGAAGGTGGGGATGGAGATCCCGAACCGGAGGGTCTCGGCTAATCTGTCGATGCTTGTAAAGTTGCATTCTCCACTGATGTTGGTCATCTCTCCCCTAAAGCACAGAGAGAACAGGAAAAGGATCAGTCTAGCCTATCTGTTAAAGGAAATGAAAGTAAACACGATTTAGGCAAAAGTAGAAGTTTTAGGCCAAATCTGCCCTCAGATTTTAAATAAAAGAAAAACTGAAAACATGATAACCTAAATGAGGCCTTGGCAGATCATGCCAGATTGTTAACTTTGATGAAGTATCTGCTTTTTCAGATAAGGCAAAGGCTGAAGGTCAAAGACACTTGCACTAGAAACTGTGATTGAACTGCACTAGAAATAACTAAATACCACTAGATATGCTTGAGATTTGAGCAAGAGCTGGTAAGTAGGTGAGGAAATGTTTACAGGAAAGCTGGTAAGGCCTGCAGACAGGCTGAATGAAGGTCAACAGGGAGAGGCACAAAGTCACCCAGCCCAGTCCTTAGCAGGTTCACCTGGCCACAGATTGCTAGTATGGATGCAACCCGCAAGGAGGTGCTGTTGGCCACAGGGCAAGATCTGGCTGGCATCTCCAGAGGACTGAGCAACTTTCCTCTGAATTTAGGAAATGCAAAAGGAAGTCTGACTGTTATCAGTGGATTTATCTGTCGGAAATGAGAACAAAAAGGAAACCTTGGTTTGTTAGTCAGACTGAGATTGAGTCAGTCTCTTTGAGCTAGCAAGGTGAGGCAGCTGCTTATAAAGTCATGTGATTGTGGTGCATGGTAAATGAGAGAATGCCACAAGAGCTGGGGATGCACCAGTGCCAGATGTGCCAGGGAGTCATGGGCAGAAGCTGCTGATGCCTGGGCCAGGACAGGTAAGAGGAGATGGGGGTGTTGTGTTGTTGTGTGAGCATGTGTGTCCTGTGACCAGGAGCACCCATTTAGCTGGGGAGAGATCAGCTGGCATGAAACATTTTGGAGGAGCAACAACAGCTGTTAATCTAGCACTAGATAAATATCAGAAAATTGCTTGTGGCATCCCTTAGAAGTATGAGCTTTGATTCTGTTACCGCATTTCTGTATCCCCAAGTGCTTTTTCTTCAGAATTCATCATCACAAAATTACAGACAGCACTGCTCCTGAAAATAGCTTCAGGAAGGTGTTAGCCTGCCTTTAAAGGTGTTCACTTCCAGTGACTGATTCTTAAAAGCCTGAAGCTTTTGATCCCACTGCCCACCTCACATTCAAATTTTACATCGTGAGCAGCCTGCAGGAATTGTTTGCAAACCGTCTGCATGGAGCAACGTTTGCCCAAAGTTACCCAAAGACTCCTTTCCATTGACAAATAAGCTCAGTCATCTGATAAGCTTCATCTTTATCACAGAGTCCAAACAGTTAACAAAAATACTGAAGCTGAAAGATACGGAACTGAATACATCTTTCTCTTCTGACAGATAGAGGAGTTCCTCAGTGAGTCAATCACTCATTATGTATAAGTTTCATACAATAATATTTCCTTCATTTGGTTATGAGAATTTCTTTAGAGACAGTGCCCAAAGCTGCTCCCCCCACGCCCAGTCAGGGTTGGCTGACATTGACAAAAGTCAAATTACTTCCATTTCAATGATTCTCAGACAAACCTGTGTGGGTTGATTCTTACTGCTGAGATGTCGTCTGGGTGCTCACAACAGATTCTCCAGCGGGTGACTCCAGTCCAAATACTGAAGCCAGGCTTAGTGATTTACCATTTCCCAACTCCTCTTCCACCTTCTTAAGAGACAGGCAGCGTGTTTTCTCTTCTGAAGAGAATTTCCTCTGCCCTCTAAGAGTGTCCTGAAGAAATTGCCTGCAGCCCCAGGATTGCTTCAGCTTCTGGAAGTCAAAGGGTAATGTCAGAGCCTGGACTTAGCACCTCCCAAGGCAGACTGCATGAGCTGGAGCAGACCCAGTGCTGTCACTGCTCTGCTTGTTCTTAATTCTTCCTACTGAGTGAGGATTTTCCACTTCCTATGTACTATGCAAGTATTAATGGTTTACCAATGAGCAGAAGCTGGTGGTTAAGCTAACAGCAAATGTAATGACTGAGGAGCACCAAGGTTTTATAGTACTAGCTTTCCTCTTTTTTTTTTTTTTGCAATACAATAGGGTGCATGAATGGTTTTTATTGTAGCTCAGATTTGAGCTCATTTGACTCTAACTGGGATTCCCACAAGTCTGTATGTCAGCACAGACTGGGGATAATGAAGTAAGGGCATAGTAATGCATGAAAGCTTCATTCATAGGAAAGTCTTCATCATTAAATCTATGACTTACTCTAAGTGTAGGTGTAGCTTTAATAAGGAAATGTTAATCAGATGACAGAACAAAACAAGCCAATCGTTCTCGATCTAGCTATAATATAGAAGAGGAATGAGGGAAATTCAGCTTACTGCTTCAGCAGGGACTTTTACAGCACTTACCATAATTACCCGTTGATAATTACAAACCATGTAATGTTTTTGCTATGAAGCAGTCTTTGATTGTATCTGTTTTCTAGATCGTTATTTGTGTTATTCTCTCATGGATACTCAAGATAACAGAAAGATGGCTTAGTGCAATAAGAAGTCATAAGTCCACATCTGCTATATATTTCATCTGGATAAAATCTGGATAATCTCTTCCCACTTTATACTAAACATTTTGATTGCAATGGAATATATCTATCCTTATCTCTGAGAATAAAAATCTTTTCATTCTCTAAGACAAACCACACTATATAGTTCATTAATTTTTTATCTTTATAAGCAGTAATTATCAGACAAGCCTAAAAACAATACACTGCACTCATTGCTAGTGTTTAATTGCTGCAAAAAAAAAAAAAAAAAAATTAAAAAAAACAACAATTAAAAGACAAATTATTTTACCTGAATCTTAGCAAGAAGTTCAGCAGGATTGCTTCAGTCCAGGTTGTTCTACAGAACACGAGAGCATTTGCTTAAAGACCATGCTCTGCCAGTACTCTTACTAAATAACCACATCCTTCTTTCCTTCTCACTCTTTTTTTTTTTTCCCTATTTCAAAGGGCTCTGCACTGTGCTTTGTGTTTCTTTATATAGATGAGTGAAGGTGAGAGAGTGTAAAGGCTTGAATCCTCAGCTGTCTCCAGCAAGTAGTTGGCGAGGGGAGAGCAGTTTGCCCCTGGAGCCAGGCCTGGCTTTGGGCTGGCCTTCAGTTGGCATGAAGCAGCCAAGAGCTGTTGCAGGTATGTGGTGGCTACCCCCAAACTGCAGATTGTTCATTGTGCTGGAGGGGAGATGGACAAGTAGAAAGTTGAAGGAGAGACAGTCATAGAAAGAGGGCTTTTCCCCCGAGTTCTGTCCAATTTGCATGCTGGAAATCAGCGGTTCTGCACTCAGCTGCTTCTGAAAGATTTAGCTACTTATGTGTGTGCAGCTGTTAAACTATTTAAAGCCAATTCAGGTGTTTGGTTCATGGCTGGAAGGCAGCAAACAAATGCTTGTTGGCAGGAGGAGCGAGGTGTAGGGAGCTTAGCCTGGTCGATCCGTGTGAGTCACACAGTAGCCAGGACACGCTCTCAAAATGTGCTGTCCCTCAAACTCCCAAGACACACAAAGCTTTCAGAGATTCTTCATCATTAGCACTTTCCTAATGGAGTGTGAAGGTCTTCCTCTGCTTTGGGAGCTGTCATTTAATGTACAGCATTTGGAAAGGTAATTGTGCTTAGAAAGAGTGAAACAGCAGAAAAATGGGAGTGTCAATCCATTGCCATCTTCAGGAGCTAACAGACAGGGTGTCATGCTGAAGGAGAACTCAGAGCTGTTGGTCTCAGACCCTAGTTGGCTGTGGTCTGGAGGGAGTGCTGTCAGGTGGTCATGTTTGCACCAAGTGACATAATACACTGGAGAGAAAACGTAAGTGCTGATGGATGACATAGTGATGTTCTCTTAAATAATAACCGTACCCTCACACAACAGAGCTGCAAGAAGAAAAAACCCTAAATACAGTGTCATAGAAATAAGTAAATAAATAAACATATATATATATATATATGTGTGTGTGAAATTTGGCACTTCATGTATGAGTAGAAGCAGTCTGCCTCTGGACCTCCTCTGGTTGGAGTGTGAAACTCACCTGCTGGAGCCAGGAACCACTGCTGTGTGTTGTGGTAACTGCTGGCTGCTCATTTACCTTACACATTGCAATACTCCACTGAGGTAGCAAACTTAGGAAAAAGAAAAAAAAAGAAAAAAAAAAAAGTGGCTCTAAATAGCTCTAAGTGACATTTTTCACATTGCCACCTGCTTTTGGAGGTAATTTAATCTTTATAGAGAAGTTGTGTTCTTACCACAGAAAAAGTAGTGCCAGTACTGCGGCTGCAGGACTTGGAGAATTAAAAAAAGCATTTTCTGAACACTTTTTTTCTACCTGTCTCATCTGCAAATGAGATTGGAAGAAAAAATAAAGGAAAATAGCAAAGCTTGAGTAGAATTTATAACAGGATTGCGTAGCTGAGGAAATAATGCTGGTACGATTCATAACATTTGGAAAACATGTTATGGAACTGAGAGGTTCTAAGGCCTTTCCAACTTCTGTCTTCTCTGAGCTGTGGGCTAGCTATGGGTTACAGCAACAGACCATAGTGAATCAGAAGTCATGAAAAGAAATCTAAGAGTGCAACTAAACATTAAATATTTTGCTCAAGGAGTTGGTGGATGCCCTATCCTTGGAGGCCAGGCTGAATGTGACTCTGGGCAGCCTGGTCTGGTGGTTGGCAACCCTGCACATAGCAGGGGGTTGGAAGTAGAAGATCACTGTGATCCTTTTCAACCCAGGCCATTCTGTGATTCTATAATTAAAAATGCCCTTTTATACCCAGTGCTGCCTTCGCTCCACGAGGTGGATTCATTGCTCATGGCTCTGCAAATTTCCCCCTTGGTGTTGCTTGGCGAAGCAGAACTCAAAATCAGCATTTCTGCACACCAACCACATGGTTGCTACGTTGGCAGTTTGCTTGTGATATGTGTGGGTGCATCGCCTGTATGTAAGCACATAATTTGTTGGTACACAGATAAGTTGTGCTTTTGCAGGCTAGCTCTTCATTTACAACTAGTACAGCTTAAATCTAGAGCATGTCTAATCTGGGCAAGCTGTGAAATGACTCACTGCCATACCTGCAGATTATCAGCTGAGAAATTAGAGCTTGTTTCCCCTTCTCTTTGGTGGCTGCTTATTTAATTTTTCCCAACAACTGCTATATGTGATCGTGCTCAGTAGGGGATATTTCTGTGAGTCTGGTGTTCCCAGGGCCTTTATCACCCTGCTATCCTGCTCACTAAATGCTCAATTCCAAAGATGCAGGCAGATACCTATAACTCTAATGTTTTTGATGGGAAGGAGATAGGATGTTATTGTTTGCTTCAGTTCTTTGCTTCTCTCTCTCTTTTTTTTTTTTTTAAATTAACCACAGAAATGTGGTAAATGCCTATTACTAGCCCTGCCTAGAGACAACAGTTTCATCAACCTTATCCTTTTGCTATGATTGCACTGCAGCTAGAAAACAAATAGTGGTCAGTATGAAAGGAATAACCTAAATAATAGTCTGAGTAACTAGAACGAAATATACAAGAAAACAACTTACAAAGCTTATGGCAAAGATAAGGCTGAGAGGCTGTTCAGCCTGGAGAAAACAGAGTTGGGATTTGATCAATGCTTATATGTTTGTAATGGGTGGGAGTCAATTGGACAGGGCTGGGTTCTTTGCAGTGGTGCCCAGCAAGGGGCAATGGGCACAAACTGGAACACAGGAAGCTCCATACAAACACAAGGAAGAACATTTCTTTGAGGCTGACAGAGCCTTGGAATGAGTGCTGGTGGGGTCTGCTTCTCTGGAGATACTCATGGCCTGCCTGGGCACTTTGCTGCTGTAGAGAACTTGCTTTAGCAGCGAGGTTGCGCTCAATGATCTCCAGATGTCCCTTCCAACCCCTGCAATTCTGTGATTCTCTGTGTTTCTTTAGCGACTGGTGATTTTTCTCCATGTTTTATCCTTTCTGTGCAAGTGCTGCTGTTGCTACACCAGGTAGCACTTGTCATTTTCAAGGACTCAAAGCTTGTTTCAGGGGAAACACATTCATACATTGTGAAACCACATTCATTTGTATTACTGCAGCATGAATGCTGCTATTCTTTTTGAGTGGAAAATATATCAAAGCAAATTTGCAGTTCAGCTTTCACAAATGTCTAAAATATGTGCTTGTTTGTATTTAATGGCAAGAATGGAATGAGCTTGGTTTCAGATCTAGAATTAGGATGCTCAAATGCAAATGAATCAGATTTCAATGATGAGGTCTGACAGATTTCTGTGCTATTCTGGAGGCGTGTGTGACTTGCTCTCCCAGATAACTATAGAACATAGACTTAGTGGTCCAGAACAAAAAGAATCAGGAAAAGACATTGCCCAGTGAAGAGCTGGAAGGTGAATGAAAAACTGTGTTCATCCTTGGGAAGAAATTCTGGATGCGATGAAGAAGTGGAAGGTTCATCAGCCCAGACCTGAGTCTAAGCCCATCTCAAAGTAATCTTCGGTGGTGTGCTGTCACTGGCATCTGATATTTTTGTGTGTCATGATGATTTCAAATGCTGGATGGACAAATTGAGTTAAGATAATAAGTTGTCTTGTTCAGAGCAGGTTACCATGGCTTGCTACCACAAAATTAGCCTCTTTTTAGGAAGCTGTTTTCTAAGTCCAGCTCATCAACTGCACTCATTAAAGGAGAACTATCCAAAGAGCCAATGATGGGGAGCAGCCAAATTCAGCCTCTGAGACAGAGACCTCTAATGGCAACAAATACAGTAGTTCTTGGAGCTGGCTGTTTATGAGCATAGAACTACAGCAGTAATATTTCTGAGGCACAAAGCCTCAAGCTGTATCTGATCCAGAAGTTCACAACAGGACACCAAGCATACAGTGTGGCATCTTCCTCATAGCTTCAGAGGGCCACAATCCATATGAGAGCAGAGCAGCTTGCACCTTGCCAAAGCACTTCTGGTCATGGATGTACCAAAAGGCTACAACATCTCTTGGCTATTCATAGCCAGACAAGCCGTGAGCTCAGCCCTACTGAAACTGTAAGAATAGACATGGGGCTTCCCAAGTGAAGAATATACACAGAGCTAGCTGCACAAATGTGCTTTGCAGCCTGTTCCAGTGAGATTTTCCAGCATACCCCTCCTGTGCCAGCTGAGAAGGTTTGTGGTTACTCTATTGGCTTTGGTGAACCCCAGGGCAGATGCAGCTTATGAAAATGCACATAATTCTTACAGGTGTTTCCATGGGATTTGTACAGAGTGTGTCTTTTGAGGAGCCCCCTGGAAAGGGAAAAATGTGAGGTTGCTGTGTTGATCTTCTAAAGTAGAGAATACCTTCTGTTTTATGAAGATGCTATGCTTACCTAACAGTGGCACTGCAGGGGGAAGTGGTGTACAAGAATCTGAGGTTTCAAAAGAAGCAATGGCAAATTTCACATCCATCTGGTGAGAAGAAATAATGGTTTGCAGCAGTGTGATATGAGGCACGCTGGGATCTGAGCATGTGGACCACACAGCTTCCTGGCAGGTCTCTGAGTTCTCAGGCTCCTGCGGGTTACAATGTCATATTGCAGGATATTTCTCCTGCCAGACAGAATGTGGTTCTTAGACATTATTCTTTTTCCTCACAGCAAGAGAGATCAGATCAGAAAGCGATGTTATGATCACAGTCTCAATCATAGATCATAATACTCTAATAAATGGCATATAGAATATTTTTCCTTCCTTAGAGCACCTAGAAAACTATTCTCTTCTCAACCTTTGCGTTGCATTTAATGATGAATAACAAGACGACAAATACTATTTTCTTTGTGTTTCAGTTATACCTGGCCACTGTTGACTATTGGGAGTCAACAACCTTCACTACAGTCTCACACCCCAGAGGGATGGCAGTGAAGAAAAGTGGCAGCAGCCATGCTACCCACGCCTGCCTTGCACAGTCATTCCTGTACTTCGTGTGGAGCTGCCTTGTCTGCAGGGTCAATGCATACCCAGTGCTATGATTTCCTGAAAGATGTAGTTCTGTTTAATGGTTTGAATTGAAAAAGTGCTGACTTGCATAGAAACTGCACTTTTTTCCCCTAGTTTTCTGTAACATTTCTTTATCCATCTTTCCTCAGTGTAAGGACTGATATTTCTGGACAGAAAGCCTTACACAACCAAGTCTATAACTGCAACGGGCTGGAGTTGAGT